GAACCTTACTAATTATTATTAACAAACATTTATCTTTTTATTTATTTTTTTCAGAGCTTTATAACTTTAATGGTAACGTATATATTTATTTTTCGGTAGAGTAATGCGCGCAGATACAAATAGTACTACATTACACTCTATCCATACACTCTACCGGTGCAGTAAACTATTATAAAACTAGCAGAGTAGAGTGAGTAGGAAAAATAGTAGGCTAGTGTACTGCACCAAATTCATTACAAATGTAAACCCGGCATAAAAGTAATTACCACAACTTGGTTAATGGCCATTTTCATTCCATTTCAGTTTGACCGTTGTAAATATCTAAGTTGCATGTGCAAGTAAATCGACAGTCAATAAGTATTTGAAAAAATGTCATCCTATAATATATTGTTAACTACGATATGCTGGTAATAACCGAAACAAAACTTAAATAGTCAAACGATCGACCCTAAACGTATCCACCCAATTGCTCAAAATATAATTTTACAATGCTTTTATCGAATTTTGTACTTCAGGACCTCATATTTTTCTTAAAGTCGCACCAGTTCAAAGCTTTTACTTAGAATATCGTTTTTGCCAGATAGCCACATTGCTTGAATGTCAACATGAAAGTAACATTGACCACATTTGGCTTATCTCATTTCTTGATGATTATTAAACAATGTAATAGTGAGAAAACTTAGTCCGGCAAATTCGCCATTCAAGCCCTCGCAAAGCTGTATTTTTTAACTGGAAGTGTCTTTTCTTATATTGTTTTTCTACAAGTGTTCCAAAAATATGGCTTTTCTCCAACTTTCTATCAACCAGTACCTAAGTTAATGTTTTTGGGTGCGATTTTCAGTACCTACTATATTATGTCAATAATATTATTATATTGTTATGTATTATGTTGTTAATTAAAAAAATTTGTTCGTTTATCTGAATATTTGTTTAGTCCTTTGCACTGCATTTCAGTGTCTCACCACTGCCGTTCAGTCCCTTATAATGGCAATTTCTTTAATTCAAATTTTCTACTAAACTAAGAATTTCTACGAAAGACCTTTAATGGTCTTTAATGTGAACCCTATGCTTAATCAAAAACCAAAAAAAAAAAAAACTAATTTTTTTTAAAGTGAAAAAATGGATGTAAAAATTCCTTAGTTTCAGAGAATCGCCTATAATATGTAGTCAGAGTTGGGTATTAATCAATTGAAATAAACTAAATTCGAATAAACCGTTTATAATATTATTCCATTTGTTTTAGTGATTACCCGTTTATTATTTAATTAAATTTTGCCCAACTTCTATTTAAGCCTGTATGCACGTAGTTCTAAACAAATAGTTCTCAATTAAAACCCAAGTTATTTAAACTGAGCACAAAAAGGCTAATATTGTTATCTCTTCAACGTACTCATTTTTGGTAGCAAATTTTTATATTTATTAAATTGTACTTTTAACTGCATTCAATATGGAGTAATTAGTTTTTATTGGCTTTTTAATGAGAATTTCTAAGACAAACACTCGAGCATTAGACTGAATGTAGTTCCATTGCTTATTGACTGTATTAGTTAGTATGTTATTGTTAGTTTTGTTCGTCCAATCTCTTAGTGCCCTAGGAGGTCCTCACGTGAACGCATTATATCGTTCCCAACAGTTTTTTAAGTTAAAATAGTAATAACAATAATTTGTCTTTCGGAAAATCACTCGTGGCCCTACCAAAAAAAAAAAAAAAATGATCGCAACATTTGTACTACACATTTTTATACTTTTTATTAAATGTATCATAATATTATGTCAACATAGCAAGTGCTACAGAGCTAACAGCTAAGTGAGTATCAATTGTCAGTATATAATATAAATTGAACTTATCCCTACCCTAAGAGTTTAGTTAGTTAAATCTCAACGAATAATCTAATGTGGAGGTAAAACTTTTGTTGTTATTTTGCACTTTGATTGAAATACCTCGGTTTAAGGTTAACGCTAACTATAAACCGATGTTATTAATTTGTGTACCTACTTAAATAAATGCTTATAATCTTTATCGGATACAGTCGGGCAACTCTTATGTGATTAATTACATTAATGAAACCGCCGACTTATACACAAACTCTATAATTAGAACCACGAGAGAAAGCAAGTTGATTTGCTACATATTTGTTTAACCTTCATTCAATTCATAGCATAGTATATTTTACAATGTAATTAAATCACCGTATAAATCACACAATGATTTAATGAATGATTCCCACCCAAGAGTATCTATCTCCTCTCTTTTTCGAGAAGTTATAAGTATCCGATATCTCGAATGTTATAAACAAACAAATATTATTTTATAATAGTCCGTTTAAATGTTATTAGTTATATATTACAAGTTCAATTAAACAATATTCATGATTAATATATTATATTATGTAAAAAACTAACATCTTGATTAAGTTCCTATCCTTATCTAATCATTTTAAACAACTTATATTAGTTAAGACATTTAAATGAACTCATTTAATTACAATCGTCCATTATGTATACCTACTTAGAAATATTTACAATGTAGTCATTTTCAAAGTAACTGAATGAACACAGAAAACATAATAACATTAAATAAACAGGAAGCTCTCAGTTAGTAACTTTTTTTTAAATTATAAGCATACAACACATATAAGTATACTGGAAACTGTAATAGGTAATGTTGCTTACAATATTGCTTTTTGTTTTATCACTAGTAAAACTGACATTTATACAAAACAAACCACAAAACTATTAATAAATCTACTTTCATTTCAATTGTTGTCAAATTTAAATCTGCACCGATTCAACAATGATTACAAATTTGTGTTTTCTAATAAACAATGATTATCATTAATTAATAATTGTATTTATGTATGGTAAACTATTAACTCATTTAAATATTGTGCACAGCAAATAAAAAAACAATCCTGTAAATTTAAACATATAATTTTAATAAGGTTCCAAACATTTGTACTTTTGATGTTGTCGTTTTTGTAGTTTAAACCAGTTTATAATACCTAATAATCACCTACACAATATTTATTTTACGTAGAAAATCCTTGAATACTTTTTTAAATGATACCATAAAAAATTAATGGTACATTTTTTTAGGTTGGTAGTTACAACCCTAAACTTACGGAAATTAAAACATTTTATAAGTTAATCTTAAAAAAAAAAAAATGTATTTATTGTTCATTTTTATTTATGAACATTTTCTGTTTTTACTGCAACAATGATTAATGCAAATGTCTAGAAAGATTAAAACTAATAACATAATTTTTTCATACATAAATATTTCTGCAATTTATAAAACTGTCAATAAAACAGTATGGAAAACGTTTAATACACGTCAGATCAAGGTAAATTTCTAATGTCTTTTGGTACATTAGTGCAAACATAGTTAGAAAAACTGAGATCAAATGTATAATCTATGTACATTGTGTATACATAATGTTAATTTGTAAAAAAAATAAATATAAATATAAAATATGTATGCATATTATTACTATATATATATATATATACATATGCGTGTGTGTATTGAATGTCTGTTGTAAGCACTAACGAATAAGGCACGAGCTACAATAAATAATGGATGATATAGTATTTTCGTGAAACCAGATAACGTCATCATACGTAAACACTAATACAGTCTAATTGATTATAAATTATAATAATATTGCTCATACGGTTTTAATTATAGTGTAAACATTATTTAAATGATACAAAAAATGACTATAATAGTCTACATACGAAAAAAAATGGAAGATTTTAAATAAAGATGAATACAAAATCTATGATATGCACAAAATAAGCATAAAAAACTTTATAAGTTTTATGTAAGCCTTATAATATGTATACCCTGTTCGCTGAGAGAGCATGCCGGATTTGCACATATAGACTGAAGACTGAGAATAAGGCTGGCTGACAGGGCGGACTTTGGGGGAACGCAAGTCACACTCGGTGCCGCGGGGGGATGCGCAGAACGGCCAATTTTCGGTCGCGGCATACTCTATTGGCGAACAGGGTACAGTCACTTTTATAGTAATATGACACAAGTTGATGTGCATTCCTTTTGTCCATAATGGTATTATTACTTAAGTAGATATGTTTTTAAATTTTTTTCCACACATATTTCCAAAATTATCACAAAATGAACATAAAATGACATATCAACTTGTGTCAAATTAGCATACATTTTAAAATACACAATACTATTTGTACTTACTAAATCTTAAATTTATTCTTAGCTCTTACCTACCTATTTTTTTTTAATTATACATTTTTTTCAGATTCCATTGTTAATAAAGCACCATTTTTTCGATAATTTTTGTCCAATAAGCAATAATTTAAATATTATGATTTTAAATAATAAAATAAAACAATTAACAAAAACAAAACATGGAGTAAATACCATAACACCTTAAAGACTAGAAATAAACTAATTTACAAGTAAATGTATAAACTTTTGAACAAATAATATCTTAAAAATTACAAAAGACAACCAATAACATTTTAAATGCAATTATCAGTGGAAAAAAATGTCAAATAAAGATGAAAACTCAAAAGTATTTACTTATCTTAATTCTAGATTAAAAGATGTGACGTGTATGTTTCTATTATTTTGAAATAAAATACTATTTACAAGTGTCCATTTTCTAATCAAGTACTTGGGCAAAAAATGGTATACAATTAATTAGAAAAATATCATAACTAAAAAATAATAATAATTTATAGTTAAAGCTTATGTTAATAAAATGTATATGTTATCTAAATAATACTTAAAAATGACAAAAAAAACATCTCATGCATTAAGTGATTAACTGAGCAAAAAATACTATACAAATATTTAGAATATTAGTAAAAGGTCTTTAAAATTGCATAAAAATTAATAAATAAAATATTTTTTATAAACTTATATAAATTATAAACTTGTTGAATTTTCATTAACAAATATACACCTTGAGATTCAAATGATAATAAATAAAAATTACATTTACACACTTTGATTTCAAAGTTTAATTAACACCTAAAAAATCATCTCTTACGACGACAGTGCCTTTTGTGTTCATTACTCCAATGAATTAGCTGGCATTTAGGGCTGCAATATGCAGTGTTCCAACAACAGTGATAAATAGCTTCACTCTCACAATTAACACACTGAAAAAAATGATTGTTCGATTGACAATAACAAAAACCAATATTATATAGTAAATAAAATACTATTTAAAATTAGTTATAATTTGTTAATACAATATTAGGTACATTACAATGCTTTTATCGACATTTTTTATTTTATCATCTACAGATTTGCATTAAAGCATCATGTATTTAAAGTAATTTTATCACTTTCAGTTATAATAATTCCAGTAGACCTTTGAGCTTCCACCACAATATGCTCTACACACACTATGCTCCGACTCAACAGTACTGACATTGTTTATTTGTAATTAATTTGAAAAAGCAATAAGAATCTTGATAGAACAATCGAGAGAAAACTTGTATGGGCACCCCCAACTTCATGACGCTACTAAAGAACACTCCTCACGTCACGTCCTCAATTCGACGGTGTCACACAAAATTTATCCATATAGGTTAGGGTGGACCAAACAATTTTTTTTTTCTGTTCTCTTGAATTTTTCAAATTACTTTTGGAGGCCGCGAGCATCAGTTTTCCAAAAAAACATGTTTGTTTCTTAGTTTTTTAAGGTAAAAATATAAATTTTTAACAGAGTTGTTTGCATAAAAAAATCTTCAGTATAAAAAGAGGAATAAACTAGTAATTTTTTTTTTTTACAAAAAAAAAACTGTTATTGAACTAATTTAGGCCTTAGAATGTAAAATTTATGAAAACATTGATAATTAACCTTTAATTGTTAAATCTTTAATGGTTAAAACTATTTTTAACTTATTCCTAAAATAGTACTATTTTTAAAAATGTTATCCCTAGTTTGAAAAAACTAAGTTACATCTAAGTTTTTAAATATCACATTAAATAATAGATTAATAAATAATGATCAAGATACGCTCAATATTTACCCATTGTTTTTTCTTCACTTCGGACAAGGCGATATTATGACTTTCTTGTAAAAGAGCAATCTCTTGTTTATGCCTTGCAATGAGCTGATCCAGGGCTTTTCGTTTTTCATTTTCCATTTCAGTTCGAATCTATAAGCATTGTTGTATTATATATAAGTGGGTTAAAAGGGGTTTAATAACTTACTTTATTTATTACGCTTTTTGTAGGTTTGTTACTCATTGGTTTGGTTTGTACCTTAACTGACCTCACTAGATCTTGACAAGAAGAACTAACCGTTTCATCTTCGATAACATCTGGATTTTTTAAACGCTCAGTAGTGGACGTTATATTTTGATCCGTTTCACTATCCTTGATTGGAGACTTGATTTTTGGAGAAGTTAGATTTTTTACTCCTTTTGAACCTTCGGGAGTGTTGCTGTTATCTTTGATGGTTTTGCTTTTTTTTTTTGTGCTCCCAGCTGTATCATCATCAATTTGTTCAACAGTCTTTTTTGGCCTTCCTCTGGGTCTTTTTTCAACAGTAACTTCAGGACTTGGTTTTGGAGGAGTTATCAACTTTTTAGTAATTTTCTTTGGAGGCGTTCCTTTGTTTTCTAACAGCGGAGGCCGACCACGTTTTCTCTTTAAAGGCAATTCGGTGACTTCTTCTTTTAGTTCTGCCATTTCGTTCTGCATTTCTGATTTTGCCTCAATCACAGTTTTCACTTCAATTTTAGTTGATATTGGAGTGCCTTCATCATCTTCATCTTCTTTTTTTTTCTTTGCTTCTTCTTCCTTTACTTCATGTTTATCTTCTTTGTTATTTTCTTGATCTTTCTTTTTTCTTATTTTTGGTAAATCCTCAATTTTTACTTTTTTATCCGTTTTTAGTGGGTCTTCTTCGTTTTCAGAAGACGAACTTGATGATGATGATGATGATTGTGCTGCAAGACCAAAGATGACTTTATCTAACTGTAATTGATGACGACGTAACTCTTCACAAGCTTTATTCCATTGTGATGTACGGCCTTGGGACTAAAAATAAAAGAAAACGAAAGAATTTATAAATTCTATAATGCATCATATTACATATTTTTACTTTCAGATAAATAATTAATTCTTTACTATTTAAACATTTTATTAAATATATATTTGAACAACACAATAGTAGTAATAAATGAAAAACATACTTGAAGAGTATGAATGTTAACAGATATCGGCCTTATTTGTGATTTGTCAATAACTCCAAGTTGATGATCTCCGCCGAAGAAACGGACTTCATAAGTATCCTTTTCAATTTTCAATACCTAATGTAATAAATTATAGCATAGAAATTTATCTAAATGTTGGTTTCACTGGATTTTTACTTTTGCTGGCCAGTAGGGATAATCCTCTTGTTTAGCATAGACAAGTTCATGAGGTGGTTTGCATGGCTTACAAAACCAATATTTTGTATTTTTCTGTATAGAATGTTTGTAACAACAACGACATCTCAATATTTCATCAAGGTCCCGGTTACAATCCCTCAACATTAATCGTCCATAGTCAGCTAAACTACTGTGAACTAATAAACAAAAAACATAATTAAAAAGCGAAATAATCTTAGAGTCGATGTGGAGCTAGAAAGGTATTGTTTTTAGATTTATTTTTTGTGTCTGGCCAGATATCTTTTTACCCATCAAACCAATTTCATGTACTAAATCTATAGATCAGAAATCGTACCCAAAAAAATTTATATTAGACCAAAAGTTGAAAATGTTCATCACTTCCTCTTTAAAATCGAGAAAAGTCACTAAAAAAAAGTGTATATCAATTAATTCTAAATTATGACACGCTTTATTTTTTTGGAAAAATAATTAAATTGTGACCGATAGAAGATTAAATAGTACAAATAAATGTTTAGGATAGTTTGTTTACCTCCGTGAAAGATAATTATATTATGAACAAAAGTCAAAACATCTGCTCGAAATTCTTCAACATTTTTGTATTCATCATTATCAGCCTTTTCTTCGATCATTTGAAGATCAATAATTCTATGAAAATTCAATTCCAATAAATAGATAAACTAGAAACAAAAATACTAAGTACTTATACTCTGTTCCACGGAAGAACATGTCTGCAATGACTGTATTTTTTGGTTTCTGCGTAGACATGTATTCTCATGGGCAAAATATAACTTAATGCAACTTTTGTCATTCTTACTTGAATATAAGTAGATCTACTCTCCATGTATCTTTTTCTCTCAAAGCAGATTTCATGTTAAATTGTAAATCACTTCCTTTCAATTGACTTTGAAACTGAAGTCTGTCTGAAACATAAGTGGATGGAGCTGTGGTGGCGATTTTGCGCTCTATCCACGGTAAAGGTATCTATACAAATATATACATAAGATAACAAATGATTAAACAATTATAATAAATACAATTTAATTACTTTTTCTTTTAGTCTATTGGTAGTGTGATAAAGTAACCTGTTTAGTTGGCTCTTTTTAATTTTTTTAGCTGCTTCTTTTGCTGATGCGCTTTTCTAAAAATTAAAATTAAAATTAAATATAAAAAAAAAAAGCTAGATAATTAAATTAAATATAATGATAGCACCTACTTTACAGACAAAACATATAAACTTATGTTTGACATCATCTTCTGGCAAATCTTCTTTTTCAATACAAGAAAGATGATAAACACGGTGACACGAAGTACAACTTATAACATCACCAGCACTATGACATTGAAAACAATACCAATCATGACTATCTTTATCAACCTAAAACAGTAATTAAAAAAATAATTAATTAATTTAATTAGTTAAAAAATTTAAGTAAAACAATGATGCAGAGCTGAGAAGATATTGTAATTGTAATGATGTGTTTTTTTATGCGTGTGTCTGGACGTACAATATCTTTTAAATCGCTGAACCGATTCTTCATATAGCAATTCTACAGATCAGAAATCGTACATAAAAGGTACTTCGTTGGAAACAAATTTAAAAAAAGTCACCCCTTTTCCTTCAAAATCTAGAAAAACACCTAAAAAATTAATATATTTTTCTGCTTAAAATTATGATGCTCTAAAACTTTTTAAAAAAATAGTCAAATTAGTTCAATATTTGTATGGAATATTCTTTAAACATAGTACTACCGATAAACATTGACAAACCAAAATTTCAAGCTAAAATATCATAAACCCTTTTCTCTAAAAGGGATAAAAAAATTTCACTTTTTCAAGCAATTTTAGAGATTTAGGTCTGAAAATTAGACCGAAGGTAGTTTTTGAATGTAACTATAACATAAACAGTTTTCTCAAAAATCTGTGTCAAACTTTTTTTTTATTAAGGAAAAGCCCCCAAAAAAGGGGAGAAATTACACTTTAACCGTAGTCAATTTCTAAGTTGCTATGTGCGAGTGAATCAATAATAGTCAACAGAAAATGAAAATATTTTCATTATACTGTTAACTATGATCAACCCTAATCGGCATCATCATCATGCGAGCTTAACAGGCCATGAAAGCCCAACGCTGCCATCATAAAATGGTTTCTGGTTTATACTGTGCTTGGTTTGGACTGTAATGGTTTACTATCAACTTTTTTATCTGTATTTATTATAATATTTATCACTTTCAGTTATAATCATTTCTGTAGACTTGTGACCTCCCAGCCCCATTGTTTTTTTTAATTGTTTTTAATAATTTTATAGAAATAGGTATATACATAAAATAAAATACAATTAATAATAAAAGATTTGCCTAGATTATTTTCAAGTATTTATTTCTAACAACTAGTTTTGGTCATCTTCAAATAACAAGAGTTTTTTTTTAATAAAAGTAATGTAATCGTGTTGGACATTAAAGATAAAAGACTGTGGTGTATGCTAAGATCTATAAGATAGTGCCCACCAGCCACATTTCTTGAATAAATTAATATTTATAACAACATTGAGCTGTATGATGTAAAACATTACATCAAAACAGTGATAAAATACGATACGAATGTCTAAGAGTAGTCAAAGAGTGGCCAATTAATCTTATCACAACTTCAAGAGTCGCCATCAAGGTTACAGTTAAATAGAACTTTCAATGTAAAAAAACCAAGCCCAGTGTAAACTAACACAGCTTAAATCAGTACATTTCAAAGTAGTACAGTTTGAACACATACAGTATGAATTACCATATTATAAAACAAGTCCAGTCTAAACCAAGTACAGTTTAAGCCAGTACAGTATAAATCAAGCATAATTATAAAATTTAACATACAATACACCTTAGTAGTAAATACTTTAGGTACTATCTTTTTTCCGGAGACTAGTAAAATATTAAATTCTTAATTTTATTAGACTATAATATAATAATTTAAAATGTAATCAATATAAAACAATTACTGACCTTTTCTTCAGGAAGTTTATACCCTTCGGTTTCTACTCCAACTTTACAACCTTTATTGCCAACTCTCTTCGTTAAAATTAGAAGACTATCTCGTACACAATAATTCAACTGTCTAGCGACTTCTTCTACAACATTAATTCAATAATTTTGTAAAAATAATTTAAATTTCATATTGTACATAAATCTAATAAAAAGACAAACCTGATTGCATGTTGTGTACTTTGGTCATGTATTTTGTAATCCTATCTATGTCTGGTACTTGCCTTTGAAATCGTATTACTTTTACAGCATCCCATAACTGCTGTACAGCCAGCGGGCACGATATGCGACGACGACTCATGGCTAAAAACAACCTTAAACAAACAAAGTTATTAAATATGTGTACTAGTTAATTACAATAGGATTAAACTATAATTACTTCTTATTCATGGTTTGATTATATTTTTATAGTTGTTCAATAACACAACATGATCAGCATAATCACAAACCTTAATTCAATACACCTGAACTGTAACATAAAAATGTATTAAATGGATATTACAAAACAAAATAATAATAAATTAATTAACAACAAGATGTCCATTCTTGCTCATATTTATGAAAAAGGATTTATTTTGACAATATTTAACATTTTGTAGTAATCAATGTATTAAATTTCTTTTTGTCACTGATAATAATAAACAGAAACCTAATTAATTTAAGTAAGTCTTATATTTTTTTAAATAATTAAACACATTTTAAAGACTATTGAATACAAATTTATTTCTTAGATTGATATAATGAAGCAATAAAATTTCTGAAAAGTGGTTTGGATGGTATGAAAACTTTCCGAGAATAATAATAAAACAACCTATTGAAGTTAAATAGCTTAAATCTCATACATCAGAGCAGGATTTCAATATTTTGTTAAACTCAAAAAAATAATCAAGAAATTTAGAAATTTTAAACCGAATTTCATTTTGATTGTTTCCTTTATAAAATAGTACATGCAAATAAAAAGTGTTAAATGGTAAAATCAGGATATTGCTAACTTATATCAAATACGTTATGTGTCAACACAACTTCAGAGTAACTCTTACAGTACCCAATCGCTTTAAGAATAAACCAACTTTTAACAAACAAATCTGCAACTCAGAACCAGATGAATGTTAATCACATTTGGCCAACTTTAAAGGAGAGCAAAAAACTCGAAAAGAAGGATCAAACATAGGTTAGGTAGGATTTACACTATTACCAAGTCAATTATAAAATATTTTTAACAGAATTCTGTTGAATTCTGATTGGCTTGATGCAAAATCAGTTACCCCGTGCAAAACTGTTGCTTGAAATTCTTTATTTTTGTACTTACATCCATTTAATTATGAGGTACATAAATTACAATAACAAAACTAAAATTCCCGATACCAAAAGACGTTTGACATAATAATAATTTATGATAAAAAAATAGGGATATAATTATTAGTGTATTGAGTATGTAGGAATGAACCCAATTCCCAATAAAAGATATAAAGAAAATGTTACATTGTAAATGTAGTCAAAATAGTATTAAGTAATTCTCAAAATGTCTATTACCGATAACCATCAAATTAACTCTGAAAGCATTTCCAATTTCACAAAAGTAGACAACCATGCAAAGTGCTCACAACATTTAACACTAATATTTATCATAGAGAATAAAAGTGGAAAATAGTATTCATATCTAATACCGAGTACAAATTAATGGTAATGGTTTTTTTTTTAACAATATTAGAAGAATAAGTATAAAGATTAATTAATGTTATTTTAAACTCACCTTGATCTGAAAAGTTAAATCAGTAGTTATGGGTCCTTTGCGAGGCTTGGTGACATTGGACTATGGCAGAAGTAGACAAACAGCATAAAAACAACTAATGTAAAATTACTAAGCATAGAGTAGTGCATAATAATATAAGAACGTAATTTCGAAAAATTATCAAAAAGGCGCACCGGAACACAAAATAATAGCGCAAAAACGGATGGGTGATTAATAATAATATATTGTTTACAAACACAAAACGAAAATGAAAGGAAAAAAGAAGGAGAATTGGTTAGGTGGGGTGTAACCGTGTCCTATGATCTAAACAGTGTTCCCATTATAACAACTTAGCAAGCATTTCTCAAGAAAGACAAACTTTTATTAACAAAATAACGTAAGAGGTGCCGTTTCAACAAAATTTTTAGTCAGCCACTTTAGAAAAAAACCCATAATTTTTACAATAATTGGTAAATTATTATTGTGATGACCACGGCTATAGACCGGTTGCACATTGAGCTATGATAAAACGGCTACAAGCGTTATCATCTAAAAATTTGAAAAAGTCAGTGACTGGTAGCGCTCGTGGTGGACAGAGTTGGATTACTTACATAATTTTTCATTTAAATAATTTTTTTATTCAAATATATTTCGAGACTCATTTCGGGAATTCTTTCTAGAGTAATAAATATCCACCTTACACAAGCACTACTTATTTTTCGTAGGGAGGGGGCATTAGAAATTAAAATAATCCAAAAAATGTAATATGTATCTATTGTTATGTAATGGCGTGATAAAGTGTGTACACTGAAATTATTAAGTCAGAGTTACTAATATAACTTCCCCCTAAAGAGCTTTCTGATACCCCGTTTTAACAAACTGTACTTTCTAAGGACTTTTTAGTTACCATAGGATAACCAAAAAAGTCTATATAAGATAAATAATAAATAATCATATATATATATATATATATATGATTGTTATAAACATATATAATTCTCGCGTAATAAGGTTCTAATTCCCAGTTCCCACCAAGATGGCGGAAAGTGGCTGCTTCAATCTTCTCTATTGGTGGCATGTACAGCTAGCAATCTAGTTTATTATATATATCTATGTGCACACCACGGACTGTACACTGCACACTATAGTATACCTATATATATATATTATGTCATGGTGCACACTAACAACTCTTTACGCTTATCAGTTATTACTTATCAGTACAATTCTTATCCCCTTCGACCAGTCATCTGACTCTTAAAGTGTAAATAGTAAATATCTAAACTATAAATATAATAAATTATTATTATAATACACTGGCAATGATTAAAGATTTAAACAAATAACAATAATTACAGAACTAGTAGCCGTTAATTTGTGATTAGTGTTTACTGTACTATACTTGTGTATAATCATGCTTATTATTTTGTCAAATTATTCAATGCACCGTTTATAACAGATTTGTGAAGTCATAAAGATATGTGAATATTTAGTGCAAGAAGTGTTCGGTGTTCCACCATTTTGTGGTTTTCCTTAATTTTACATTGGTTAATTTCAATTAATTATTACTATTAACAATTTATACAACACGATGTGCATTAAAGAATGTGCACCCTGTGTGACAAGTAGTGAGGTAATAATTATGACATTATTATTTTATCTTTAGTAAATTTAAACCCTAGTTGTATTCTAGTGTGTATTTCAGTTGGATAATAACGACAATGCTGATGGAAATTTGTCTGAGGAGAACAACGACTCGAGTGATGAAAGTAAAGCATCGTTGGTGACACAAAAGTTGGCTAAAGAAAAAATTTTACTAGTAATTGACACCTCTGCTGATCCATCTATGTCAAACCCTTCAACCTTAGCTGTAATATTACAGTGTTTTCGTCAACTGAGTATTTTAAAAAACCGCCAAATTCCTGATAACCAATTTGCAGTTTGTACCATTAACAATTATTCTTATACTAACGTGTCTGATTTTACAACTGATACAGAAGCACTATCTCGAAAACTTCATTCTGTTAATTCTTTATGTCAACAACCCGGTAATTATTGTCCGTATTATAAATTTGATGGGTTGTTAGATTTTGTTACTCGAAAATACGCTGATAATATGACTCAAAAAGACGAAGACTACATATTTAGAGTAATTTTAACTTACAATAGAGATTACTGTCTACCACATATTAATGAAATCTCTCCTATAACAAAGAGCATACTTCGATCTCCAAGGTTTTATTTTGATTTTATCCACATCAGTGCATTTGAAATTAATAATAGAACTCAATTAGTATTTGATCAACTAGCTGTCCTATGTAACCCTTGGTCTTATAAATTAAAGGCTGAACGAAATCCGTTGTCTATTATAAGTACTGTTTGTGAATTTCTTATGCATCCAATGGCTAGAGATACAACTATCATTTAGAATTATATCATGTTCATTAATATGATGTTCAAGGCCATAAATTAGGTTTATTCCTACATACTCAATAATTTAAAAACATTTTTTTTTATATGTACACCTTATTGAACAATGAATACAAAATATCCAGCAAGTAGTTTATTTCACTGTACTTATAATTTTTTTTTTAAAACATCAAACATGTAATTTTGTATAAAGCTAAGTTGTTTTAAATTAAATACATGTATTCAAATTTATTTGACTGATTTTCTATAATACAAAGCTTATAATATATTTTCATCCCTGAACGTATATTTTATGTAAGATTTGTTTTTTAATTTTTATATATATAGGGAACATATAATATATTAATATGCAATACTTATGGTATTGCTAGTTAAACAAGACCTGTCCAAACAATTTTTTCAAAAACTATGTGAAGAAACTAGAGCAGAGCACACCGTGTTAAAATGTTATTGTAATTTTAGACGACTATCAAAGAGTAACATACTTGTACGAGTATTTGAACTTAAAAATTATACTTATTTAAATTGAAAAGGTCATGATTATGCCAACAAGTTTTGTTTTAAAATGTATTTAATTTATTATTTATGTAATATTTTTAATAATGTAATATTCTGCAATTATATGATAAAGTGGTTGCTTTTATTAAAAAAGCGACTTATGTCAAGTAAAATGACCGAGGAGTGAGGACAATAGTAATAACCTCGTTTTCCACTCTTACCATTTTTTCTTGAATTACCAATCATTTTTTAGAAGAAATTGAACAATACCAATTGGATTAGACTTGTTTACTGAAAAACCAACATCAAATTTCGTTGTAAAATTGCAAACCTCTGTTGTACAGAATTTTTTAGAAATTGCTAATACTTGTTTTCTTACTATAAACGTCACTATTGAACAATATTTTTAGATTTTCATTTGGGCTTGGAGAAAAATAACTTTCAAATGTTTTGTAAAATTTTATTTAAAAAAAAAAAAATGTTCTAGTCGTCGATAAATCTGATTTAATGAATCAGGATTTGTATATCTGGTTGAGTCAATCTAGGCCTATCTTTAATATATTTCTGGACCATAAAAGAAAATAATTTAATAATAAAAAACCATTATCATAGTAAAGCCGGGATCTCGTTGTGCAGGGTTTGTCGATAAAACGCACCATGAGATTGGTGTTGCATGGCACATCTCATCACGATGATAGTCCGTTATTTTGACACACGTTAATGAGAAACCCACGCCACGATATGTACCATAGGATCCCGTTATTTCTGGCCTAAAAAAATACCTTCTTAGCTACCCCCATTGGAGATAAAAAGTAATTAATTTTTTTATATTTAAATATTTGTATTTAATTGAAATATTTTATAATCAATTATTAGTATAATTAAAAAATAATAATTTTATAGACATAGTTATAATCTTTAATGGTAAACATAAATTTTTTTTGTTTATATTTTAGAATTGTTTCTTTATTGAAATAGTTTTTATTTCAAGATACTCCTTCAAGCCATCCTCTCCCCTGTAAACAAAGAATTAATTGTAAGATTATCTTTTATTAATTATATGTTTTTAAAAACATACAATTCTCTGCCGTGTCCTGACTGTTTAAATCCTCCAAAGGGCGTTTGAGCATTGACAGCATCATAACAGTTCACCCTACAGTAGTGAATGTTATATTATAATTAATACACAATTGCTAGATGACGAAGTAAAAATGTATTAGGGGTCAATATATTACCAAACAGATCCCGCATCTACACTTTCTATATACTTTAATACAGTGTTTATATTCTTAGACAATATTCCAGCAGCTAAACCATAATTCGTTTTGTTAGCACGCTCAATTGCTTCATCGAGAGTTTTGAATTTAATAATCTGTTGTACAGGTCCAAATATCTAAAACCGAATGGTATAATCAATTAATGATATTTAGTAATTTTATTATAAGAGCTGTAAGTTTACTTCTTCTCTGGCAATTTTCATTTCATCAGTGACATTAGAAAACACAGTCGGATATACAAAATATCCAGTATCTCCTACTTTAGAGCCACCTGTTTCTACTTTGGCCCCTTCTTTTTTGCCAGACTCAATCATACCTAGCACTTTGTTGAACTGTTCTTCGTCCACCTAATAATCATAATCTAAATTTAAGTTATTTTCAATGAGCTCAATACATTATTAATAATAATGTTAAAAATCAAGTTTATTTTATTAATTACCAATGGTCCAATTTGTGTACTGCTATCAAATTGGTCACCCACTTTTTTTTCAGATGCCATTTTCGCTGCCTTCTCAACGAATTTGTCATAGATTCCTTCCTGCACAAACGTTCTAGAACCTGCACAACAGCTTTGTCCCATATTGGAAAACAAGGCATCGTGAGCAATACTAACAGCTTCGTCCACTATTACATAAAGTTGAATTACAATTTACAAAGATAAATTAATATTAATATCATCATTATATATATATTAAGTACTGAAATCATAACTACTACATAATAACAGTTTAAGTAAATTCGGTACCTAAAAAAAACTTAAAAAGTAACTAAGTAGCAAATAGTAACCTAATTTCATTTTGATTTGAGATGCATTAGAAACTTTAATAAAAAAAATATTATTCATTAAATATTCAATTATTTAATTAATTTAAATGAACGAACTTGATAAACTCATTTAAGAGTCCAAACGTCATTAAAGGTAGATCAGTGAATAGAATGAAAAATTTAAATCTAAGTAAACCAAAAAATCAGGAAATTGAAATTTTTTACTAAACTACACTTTTGCTCTGAGGTACAGATATATTGTTAATAATTATACCAAAAAATATTATACAGTATCATTAATAAACATAGTTGAAATGTTACGTATACTTTAAACACTTACCATCAACATCATCAAAAACTAAAAGAGGACTTTTTCCGCCCAATTCTAAGGATACGCGTTTCAAGTTTGACTTAGCAGCTTCTTCCATAACAATTTTACCCACCTAAATCAATATTAACATTGTTTAAAATGGATTTAGTTTATTAGTAGTAGTTTGTTAAAATGTAAGAAAATTTATAAATGTGGCACTGCCTTCATTAGTTTAAAGAATGACAGGAGTTTTTAATTAAGTGTCTTGCAAAGAAAAAGACACTTTATACTTTATAGCGGACTTTCCTTATATTGTTTATAATGCCATTAGAGCTAGAGCTTCTTCATGTTTTACCCTATCAATTGATCATTGACAACATTTTTTTAATGATGGGTTTATAATTAAATATTAAAATGTAACTTCACCTTTATTAATTAATTTAGAAACTAGCAAAAAACTATTTTTTTTTTTCACATTTATATTTAAAAATTATAATGCGACTAACATTTATTAATTAGAAAATTACATTAATTATGGTGCGAAGAGCAATAACAACAATTTTCAAACAATGAACAATAATGTACTTTTTTTTCCTTGTTACCACCAAAACTTAAATTTTTAATAAATTATATGGAGTATTTTACTTCTGTAGATCCTGTAAATGCCACTTTATTGATGTCTTGATGACTCGCTATAGCTTGACCAGCAGTCGGCCCATATCCCGGTACAACATTAATGACGCCCTCAGGAAATCCAGCCTACAACCATGATTATTTTATTTGTAAACTATTTTTAAAAAGATTAAAAATAGTACTTTATTATAAAAAATAGGTATTATGCAGTACTTCTTTTGAAAGCGCAGCCACGTATAGAGCAGTAAGAGGAGTCTGTTCGGCTGGCTTCAGTACTATAGTACACCCTGTAGCGAGTGCCGGTCCCCATTTCCAAGTGAGCATTAAAATAGGATAATTCCAAGGAATGATTTGGCCGACAACCCCGATAGGCTGTGGTTTTGTAAAAGACAAGTATGGCCCGTCTATATTTGCAAAAAAATGTCTTGATTTATTCTTATTTAAACAATTTACACTTTCATAATTTACAATTATCTCAGAAAAAAGCTACCTTTCGTAATTTTCTATTGTTCCTTATTAACTTACAAACAAATTTTACAACATAACAAATACCATCAACTTAATATTAATTCTATTATTTAACATTCATACATTTTTCAAACAATATCTCAATAGCTAAATATACTAACAACTTCATTCTACAATCCGGTTTTGTTGTTTACAATTATGTATAGGTGTACAAAGATACAGAATTAAACAATACAGCCTATTTTTCTAAGAAAAAAATAATTTTTGTAGTTCAACACCGCTAATGATAATTAGAATTGCTACTGAAATACGTTAATACTGAAAAGTAAATTAATTTTGTGGCTCAGGGTAACTTTAAATACTTTATTAGATAATTATAGGTACCATAGGAAAGGTTCCATGATTCAATTTTTGTTCTGAGTAGCAAAGAAAATTTCAAGATTTTTACTTTTCCTTTTATCGTAGTAGATATATAAAAGAATAACCTAAATTTTGACTTTTGTTCACAATCCTGTCAGATCATTTTATTGGGGATACAGCAATAACAGCATAACAGAAATTGTCTGTCTCTACCACACACTGGTTCTATTTTTTTTTTTTAGGTGGAAAGCATTATAAATTAAAATATATTAAATTATAAATATTATATTATTATTATTATAATTATTAAATATATATAAAATTAAAATGATTATATTATTTATTGTATGCATATAGGATTTATCCATAAAACAAATTTTAATATGCCAAATAGGCTATTTAACAATAGCCGCTATCCTGACGACTTAGAGGAGTGGTCCACCATTGACTAAGTAGTGTGTCTGTCTTTATAACAACTATGAAAGTAAAATGACTATCTATTTGTTATGTATGTATGTAAATGTGCTATCGGTTGTCAATAGTTGTTATGCTATCAATAGTATTATCTGACATCTGTTATAATTTATATTTATATATATATATATATATACCACAACATTATGTGTCGTGCATAAGTATTATCAATAAACCAGTCTAACCTTGTCAATGCGTGCGTTCAGTACTTTGTAAGTTCAGTTAAGATAAAACGTAACACTATTATTTTTGATTCGTACCGGCTGGTATTGTTTTGCCATGAATTTTGTCCGCAAATCCTGCGTAATATTTTAATGTCCCAACAGCCGCGCTAATGTCCAACAGAGAGTCATCATACGGTTTTCCATTGTCCAAAGATTCTAAATTGGCTAATGTGACTTTGTGTTCATCTATTAGATCGGCTAGCTTCGTCATCAACAGACCTCGAGCAGATGCATCCATTGTGCGCCATTTTGATCCAATTTGGAATGCAGTCCTTGCTGCTTTAACAGCGAGGTCAACATCAGCCTATAAATACAAATTTTCGTTATACATTTCAGTTATATATAGTATAATTCAGTTCAGTTGCTATACAGCACTGTGGTTAAGCTGCTGCTGGTGTTGCTAGTTCCTGAATGGATCAACAACGAACAATTTTAGTAGCGAATCCATGCTCAACTATACACACTAAGTGTAACAAACTTATCTGTATAAAAAATTAACCATAACTGGCTAATGACCACAATCCACAGTGGCCATTGTAAATTATAAAATGTTCGATTAATGTTAAATTGAGATTAAAACTAGATTTTTTGATACTTGTGTATTTTAACTCACTTGATTTTATTCAATATCAGAGGGCAATAAAATAAAATAATGCGTTTTCAAAGTATACGGATGTATATTTAATAGGAAAATATAGGCGCTCTCAGTTACCGTCAGGCGCTAATTTTTTAATTTTTTTAAACCTGTGACTTCCTCCTAGACTGTAGCCTGCAAACCTAGGCTATTTTTAGTTTAACTGAATGAAGCAACGGCGCCGAGCTAGTGCCAAATCACTCGGTGACCTGCCGACCTATAAAAGGCTATAGAGGAGCAAGTAGACACGGGGGGGGGGCAAGTAATCACTTCACTAGGAACCAGTGGCGTAAATAGGGGAGAGTTTTGGGGGTTGGACCCCCCCCCGAAATGATATGCTATATACGCCACTGCTAGTAACTGTAATTATATTTAGTGTGATTTATTTTATCTAATTACCTTATGATATTGAAAAGTACCAATATTTTCCTTCCTTATAAAATATATATTAATTTTCAGAAATCCCCTCTTAATATTTAGCAGTTCATAAATTAATTTAGTAATTACCTTATCTCCTTCAGCAACATCAGCGATTTTCAGCTTATTGGCTGGATTTAGTGTGACAAATGTTTTTCCACTTATGGAGTTTACAAATGTATTGTTAATAAATATCTGAAATGTATATTACATAATATTTTTTTAAACATGTATTTTTTTTAATGTCAGAATATTACTTAATGATAAAGGTTTCATTGTTTTATGAAAATACCTAAAGGCAATAAATATATTATATATAACTTGTTAATACATAACTATAGGCTTATGCCTAGTTTCAACGTGACGAGCACTCAGCCGAGCAAATAGAAACTGTTCACTAGGCCAAGTACTGTGTATTATGTTGTTTAGATGGTCAAGTACTCGACCAAGATCACTGTCTTGGTCAAGCCCTCGTCACGTGTAATTTAGGCATTAGTGTGCATTATCAATCCCTATATTTGTGCCTGCTTTTTTTACGAAAACAGTTTCGCAATGTTTGTTTTCTCCCCAAGCCCAATACCTAGTCTGCACAGGATGTTGTTGCCAGAGTTGCGAAATTGGCCTGTTTACCACCTACAAGAGGCTTCTGGTAAAGTGTAAGTATTTTTAGCAACGTCAATTTAAAGACAAATTAGATTGTAAACAAACATTTTAAGTATTTTCGTTTTAAATAAAATTAGGCTTTTATATATTAAATTTAGAAATAAAGTACGAATCTGGCCTTGGCATTTTTCAAGCATATTGTTACTTTTTAAATCAACTTTAGTTTTTAAATAGTTGTATAATAAAAATAATCTATATCTTAGGTTTTTTTGAGAAAATATACAATGATCTATCAGTTGTAAGACACTCATTTTATCGGAAAATATGAATATTTTGAAAATTATTTTTTTCTTTATTGGTTATGTACATAATTTACTATATTTTTCAATACTTTGAACATTTTTACCTGTATTCCTTATACGTAAAACAAGTAACGACTCCGTTTTTTTCTAATGGGAACATGTTTTTCATTCCATAAATATGTAGACAAAAATTTTAAAAATACTTTAGCGTTTAAATTATTAATTTTCATCAATCTGTTCGTTTTCTATGACTGTAAAGATATTACATTTCCTCTTGTAATTGTTATATATTATCCAATAACCGGAGAACCATAAAATTCATATTTGTGTTCGTATATTCTGATAGGTGATAACGCCGATAGGCGATAACCAGCACAATCTAAGATAGATAAGGTCTAAGATAAATGATAATATAGTTTGTAATAACCAGGCACAATTCAATCACAGATTAAACAGAAAAGATAGTGAAACTATATAATATACAATTTTTACATGGGCTTTTATGATATGAAATAAAAATCATATCCGACATCTTGAAAATGATCGAGAAATGGACCGTGCTGGTAGATGTAGGGAAATTCTCATTTTTCTTTCATTCCGACCAAACTGTTTACTTGACAAATGCGGAAAATGGCGACGACATTGTTATTGGTGTACGACATTTAAGAAATGATAGTTTATATTTGTAATAATAATAATAAATTGCTCTTATAGTAATAACAACAATAATAATAAAGAACAGTCGCGGCTGAACCATGCTCGTCGTAGCCGGCGGATAGTCAAGGAAAGAGACTAGTTTGGGATACACTAACTGATAAACGCCGCCACTGGCCAACTTATCTAGAAACGACTGTAAATAAAATCATTTATTTATCAACCTTGGATAGACAAGTGGTTTTTATCCACCTAATACCTATTCAAATATAGTGACGACTAATGGTTTTTAGTAAACGGAAGACGGATCACGTATGACAATTATTGTAAGGGATTTTTTTTTTTAAATTGCAGTCTACATATTTATGGAATTAAAAACATGTGCCCATTTGAAAAAACGGGGTTGATATTTGTTTTACGGTAAACATTTTCAAAGAAATAAAAATATAGTTAACTATCTACCTACAAGTACGGGAAAAAAATAATTTTCAAAATGTTCATATTTTCCGAGAAAATTAATGTCTTACATCAAATGGATCATCACCCTGTATGGGTAAAGGATCCGTAAAAATCACGTTTATGCACGTTTATTTCCAGTGTATTATGAACGTTTGAATAATTTCTAAGAATTAGAATTAGAAATACAAATAGTGGTTTTGGTTCAAAAAAATAAATTTTCAATACTAAATTTATAGTTGCTCTCAGAATTAAATTGAATTTGTAGATTTTGTAAAACTACAGAAGAAAATTTAAGAGAGCATAATAACAGTCCTATAGATTTAGGGTCGTATTTAGGAATATGTCACCCTGGAGCAACAAAAAAAAACCCTCTATTATAATATAATACAAATTTAATGCAATATAAAAAAATTTAGCCGCCCGGTGCAACAGCCCCCTGTTGCCCCTCTCCTAAATACGGCCCTGTATAAATTATTAGATACACTCATATCTTCTTATTTTTATAATATGTTTGTTAAAAATGAATTATTCACATGTGATATACATGTAACGAATTCGTGCTTTGTCGCTTACGGTCATTAAACATTATGGTAACATATTTACTGAATTGTAGAACCTTATTGATATTGACTATGAAATGATTGTTTTTATTAGTTACACTAATTGTAATATACTAATTGCATCACAGAACAAATGCAGGTGCAAACATTTATTATATACAAATGAAAGAAACAAATCGTTAAATATTATTTATAAATACCTGATTGTATTGAACTTTTACATTCGGGTTGGCCATTGTTGTAGAAAATTTCAAATTCGATTTTTACACCTAGTTCAAATAGATAATGGAAGAGTAATGTTTTAAGATTTGAAATGTTTTAATGAGATATGGGCATAAATATTATGACGTGGGCGGTTACAGAAAAAATAACAAGATAACACCCTATTTTTGTTTGTAGAATGGCGCAAGTATAAAGCCGGGTCCACACTCCACACTACCGCACAAAGCCAAAACGTTCGTTAATTACATCATACATGCGCGTTTATGTGTATGTTCCCACCACGAACATTTCATTGGTGTTTGATGTTTCCCACAGAGTACCATATCCATATGAGAACATGTTCACTAACGTTTTGCGCGGCAGTGTGGACGCGACTTTATCCACTTTAAACCTAATACTATTTAGTCGATAAGATATTGTCTACCTATATTGTATTTGACAGAACTTGAAACACTTAGTACAAAAAACACATGTCTGTATTGTCTATATCTACATACAATTATACATTAGGTCCTGTAAGATACAGGCAATTTGGTTCGGTAACTTACACATCGATTAATGATGTGAATTATGGTCGATGTTACCAATGTATTGCAGCAAATTCATTAATAACGCGATTCATATAACAGATATTTATTGCACGGTGTGTGGTTTAATTAATTTGGTAGTCGCGATTATCGATAATAAAAGTTTCCCCGTGTGTCGACTCGCCAAGAAAAAAGGGTTTTTCAAAATTTTAAACTTCAGTATACTATGTATAGCAGTCTCTTATATATAACATGGTATATAAGACTGAAGACACCGTGCACTGGGACACTCAGCGCTGCAGTGCACAACAGTGCAAGCTTTTTCCCATAAAAAAGCATTGAAAAATGTAAAATTTACACATTTGTAATTTTAAAAAACGATTATTGTATATTTTTTCGGTATAAGTGTACTTTACCGGGCACCCTTTTTTTTCGATTTTTTTTTTAAATCGATATTACGTTTAATGCTGATGAAATTTTGCTAATGAATTTTTTTCAGGTAGTCGACCCCGCTGTAACCGTGTTATTGTATAGTGCGCGCCTGGCCGTAATCGCGAACTTAAAACGTCTGTAACTCCGAAACTAAGTTCGTCCGGCAAAAAATTCATTAGCAAAATTTCATCAGCATTAAACGTAATATCGATTTAAAAAAAAAAAATGGGTGCCCGGTAAAGTACATTTGTTCCGGAAAACCATTATGAGAAATTAAACTGATGACAATAATTAAAATTCAATATTTTAATAAGATGAGTTAAAAATTTTGTTATCGGGTATTATCATGTTACTCATGACAAAATGTTGTCACGGCTAACTGTACATACCACCAATAGAGAAGATTGAAGCAGCCATTTTCCGCCATCTTGGTGGGAATTAGAACCTTATCACGCGAGAATAATATATGTTTATAACAATCACATATATTAATATATATATATATAATATTGATATAGTATATATATTATATACAGATGTATATTATATGCATTGATAACACACATAAATCCCACCAGAATGGCGGACCGTCGGCTTCAATTCTTATCGCTAGTTAGCAATCTAGTTTATTATATATATCTGTGTTTTTTAACGATGTCGATATTCGGACCTCTCTCTCTACTATCAGTCCATTTCTTTATAGGTCTATGCATTATATTTTTAAATGACCAATGTTTTTACTTTGTACTTTTATTAATACACATTTGGCAACATTGAGAACTTTGCTATTTAGTGTTTTGTCTACACTCTACAGTTTTATCACAGTTTAGGTAGTTCATTAACTAATTTGTTATAAATTATATAATATACTACGATAAGTTCTAGAAACAATAAATTTAAATTCGTGTTTTTTTATACAATTTTTGTATTTATACTTAGTATACTAAACACACTTAAATGCTTGAATGTGTTCATGAGAGAAAAATTAACATGTTTGGCTCTATCGGTAAGCTTGATGTCGATTCGGCCGGTAAGACACTTGTATACTCTATTCAGTTTAAAGATAAACTAAGTGCGAGGATTTAATTTGTTTTTAACATTTTTTTGGAATTAAGTTAGGTATTTTATGATTTAAATTATACTTGTTGGTAGAAATAAAGACATCAAAATGAAGATTAGGAATTAAACTTCTTTTTAATCGTCAGTTTTTTTTTCTTTAAGAAACATTTGTTTACTAAAATATAATTGATTACAAATTATTTGTTTAATAACTATTTAACAAAATTTATTTTTCAGAAATAACAGTTAATTCATTATATTTAATTATTATAAGTAAATTATTACACTTCCTACATTACTCTACTGTTTCAGCAGGAAGTCTTGCTCACAGTACAAGTGTCAGTAGTGACATATCAAATCGCACAAAAATGGATGTTGTCTGTGTTATTGATGTGGTACAAACTAGTAATCTGTCACACCGTAAAAGAGCACTGGAAGAAGTCAAACAAGCATGCACAATGGTTTGCGCTAATCTCTTTATTGTTTCGGTAATGTAACTTTTAATAAAATAAAATGTATAGGCATTGTTAGTTAGTAACTTACTATCTAGATACCTTTTATTTGAAATTCCTTCTGATAACATATAGACAACCAATCAAAGCACAGTGTGACAAGTGTTGAACGTTGACACACGCTTTCAGTAGTTAACATTGGCGGAGATCCGGGGGGGGGGATTGGTATACTAAAAAACCTTAAAACATAAAATCAATGCTTTTTAAAATAGCCTTTTTTTTTATTAAGAGATTTGTTGAAATATAGCATTTATTTTAAGTTTTAATGTTTTTTTCAAGGTTTTTAGAATCTCGAGCCCCCCCTTGATCTCCGCCAATGGTAGTTAACCCTTATGTGCAATATCAAGTGAAAATGTGATTAGCGCTCACTAGGTTAAGTTTACAGGCTCACAGGTTTAAAATACAGTTTGTTGGAAGCAGAAATTTAGTTAACTAGTGAACTAGGTGTCTATTTACCGCAATAATTACTTGTAATAAATAATGTATTAAATTATTTAGTTTTACAGTGATGTTTTAGACTATATGCAGAGTTTGTTTATAGATTACAGACATTGTCTTGGTGCAATAACATTACATTGTGCTGCAACAGCAAAACCCTAACTGTATAAGCCTATTAAGACAAACTCTATAATTAGTCCAAAACATCAATTTAAAACTGAACACATGAAATATTTATGTAATTTCATGTTGTAAGTTCATTATAGCTTCCATATATTATTATGTTTATAAAGTAATTTGTTTTTCTCGGAAAATTCCAGTTTGAAAAATTAGATTTTGGTGGAACCACCGAATTGGATACATTTTACAATGCAGATGTTGCAGTTGTAGACTTGTCTATGCAATTTCAACAGAGTTCACTATTTTACCATTTAGGAGTACGTGAAAGTTTTGGAATGAAACAAAATATTATGTTATTTAATGATCTAGATACGGAAGTCACTTTACGATTAAAGGTTAATAGTTTAGTAACTAACTATTTGGTAGTACTATTGATCATTTTCAAGATTAACTAACCTAACTATATTTTGTATTCATATATTTCCGCAGTTGTCTTGTGGTGCTTACACATTTCTTTCATATAAGTTAGCTGATTGTGGTTCATGTCTTACTACTAACCCCTCTTTTCAAGATGAAAGCGGAACTTCTGCTTTTGAACCAAGAGTACCTATTACTGTGAAGTTAAAAAAACTGCTCCAAGATGTTGAGATTCAAACTAAGTGATTATTTGTGTTCTTAGTAAATAAGTTATATCAAATTAAGTAAATACAAGTTTATTTAAATTATTATTTTATCATTTTTACAAAGAGTTCATATTAAAGAAAAATTTCTATCCGACTTGAGAAAAGCAAGAGAAAACTTTATTGGTGAAGAATTACATAAGACGTTACATATAATGAGAAAAAGACTTGATGATCCACATGTTCTTTCTGGTGATGTAGTGCTTAATATGCTGATTTCATTCAGAGATATACAGGTAAATTCATAGAGCATTTAAACTTATTTGATTGGTTCAATTTAATACTTATTATTATATATTACATATTATATTATATTATTATATATATACTTATTTTATAAAGGATTATGATGCAATGGTTCACCTTGTAGAAGATATACAAACTATTCCGAACAAAAAAAATTACATACAAACTCCAGTATTACGTTTTCTGTATCCATTTGCATTGAACAGGTATTGTAGTGTTTATATTAAGAATATAGAATTAATGTATATTTTACTATATCTCCAGTCTGAAATCTGAATCGTCTGGACCAAATAAAATCAATTTGTTTATTGAGGTACTCGTTATAGAGAAACCAGATTTTTTTTTAATCAACAATTGTTGTGTTAAAATATTAATTATAAGACTTAGTTAAGCCTATGGCGTAACTCAAGTACTAAATTAAAAAAAAAACAAATTATATCCGTGCCCACTCGTTTTATTATTGCATTATAAATGTGGGACCAATTTTAAATCTGATTTAAGCTGACGCTTTCTGATTGTTAAGGTGAAGTACATACTCAAGTGTTGTGGAGTTGTGCACATATTTTTAAAGGAAAACTTGAATTAAGTTAATATAAATTGCACAATTAAGCTAGTAGAGCAAGATCAGAGGCTTCATAAAAAAATCTGCGGTTGGCACAAGGTTAAACCAATACTTGAGTGTGTAAATAATCTGTTTATATAATTCTGTAACTTGTAATGTTTTCTACATGATTTAAGTCTTTAAAAGCTGCACTATTGCACTCGCTTCATTTGAGATCACCAGATCCGACAGAGTTTAATTTGAAATTATGCTAGCCATTTTTTGCGCAAGTGTAAATGACATGTTTACAAACAAGATGTGTGAATGAAACCAAACGTTTAAATCTACCTTAACAATCGTAGATAAACAGTTCATATTTTAGCTGTAATGATTTTAATTTTTATTGGCTTCTCAACTTGAAACTAAAAAAAAAACTTCTTAAATTTCCGCTCAACAAAGTACCTTTAAGGTACAAAACCTGTTCTATAATAATGCTACATGAAGAAATTGGTTCAGCAGTACAGAAGAAGTCGTGGTCCACACAAAAAAAAAAAAAATTGTACATCATATAGTTGTATAAACAATATCTTCTCAGCTACTTTTTGAAGTTAAAATTAGATTATAATAATAATTTTTAGTTTTGAATAATTTTTTGATTTAAGGCGTAATAAACCCGGGGACAGAGAAAAAGCATTACAAGTAATTGAACTGGCTTTGGAAAAAAAAGAAAACCACATACCTGATATGGTTTGCCTATGTGGTCGTATTTACAAAGATAAATTTGTTGAATCTTCATATAAAGATAAATCAGCTCTTCAAAATGCTATACATTGGTATCGGAAAGGATTTGAAGTACAGCCTAATGAATATGCTGGTATAAATTTAGCTACATTGTTAGTAATTGCTGGAAATGAGTTTTCAAAGTCTGAAGAACTTCAGCATATAGGTATGCTTTGCACAATTAATTATATTAATTTGACGTGCAAGTTAATAACATTGGAAAAAAAAATTGTATATATATATATTGTATTGCTTCATACTAGGTATGGTTTTGAACAATTTGATTGGCAAGAAAGGTAGCTTATGGTCACTCAAAGAGTACTGGGATGTAGCAACTTTTTTCGAAATCAGTGTCCTAGCTGAAGATTACAGCAAAGCAATACAAGCTGCTGAATGTATGTTTAAGCTTAAACCTCCAAACTGGTATGTATCATATTTTACACTGTAATGTATCTACTTTATCTATTTTATATAATATGTTGTGATATGTGCTTTCCTTATGTCATTATTTAGTTCCTTTTTTTATGGGGAAATAGCTTATTGTTATTAACCTTTGGTGAGACGTCTTTTCTGATAGCGATGATTGCTGCATGTCTGATAGAAGATGTTAATGTGTGTACCGCCGGGTCAATGTCATCAGGGTTTCTTAGAAAGATTAAGATTGGTGAAGTTTTTAGTAATTTGTGGAACTACTTTCCAATTAGTACATTCGATGTAATTCTGGCATTAGCTATATGAGGTTGTGTTAATCTTAAGGGTAATGGCAATTGTGATATGATAAAAATGTATGGCATTTAAAAAGATTAAACATTATAGGGTCAGTGTAGTTTGGTATTTTAGTTATGATAATTTTGACTACGTCGGGCAGTGGCAGTATATCAAGGGAGTTTTTGAAACAGAGTTTCCCTTTAAAAATCTTTAGCTACTAATAAATAATAATAGAAAAGAAATTGAGTGTTGATGGATTGTCATCAATAAGACATTTTTTAGGAAAATCAGAAAAATATGCTATTTCCCAAAGCATTAAATAAATATAATATACTAATATGTAAATAAAATTGTATGTTGCAAATACAACACTTGCAGTTCAAAAAATTAATAAATTAAAGACAAAAAAGGTTTTTCTTGTTTGATGTTTTTATTTTAGTAGGTATTTATAGTTTAAATTTTCAGTCTCCCCTGAATATTTTCCTACAGGCCGCCACTGAAGTTTGGTAAATGATTTAGGTTAGTAGGCTAGTATGTTGGATTATGTGGGGTCTAACCTTGTATCTCAGGTTAACTATGATCTTGCTATTATTTTTCTTCTCTTTTCCTAAACATACCTAAATCATGACAATTAAAAAAAAAAAATTGTGTGGGTCTCGGGACCCGCGGCAGAAGTGAAACTTCAAAACGGTGTGTTACTGAACTCGGTGTCATAAAAATTGTGTAATAAAAGATATGCTAATGTAAAGACTGTATATTAATTCAAATAGTATTAAATTGGAAAAAACAAAAAAGTTTTTTTAGTGGGGGTTGATCATTAACGTCTTCGCAACTTGAATGCATTTTGTACTATTCTATGGCAAATGCAGTGAACTTTCGTGCAAACGTAAAATGTCAGTGAAAACAAATCAACACACGCAGAATTACAAGCCATTTTAATTTTAATGGCGAAGTTTTAACGCCAACATACACTTACATATCTATTTAGATATTATAATCAAATCAAATATATAAATATATATGTGTGAGAGAGAGAGAGAAAGAGAGAAAAAGCTGAAAAAGTGGGGGAACTCGTACAATATTGTATACAAAGATCCGCACAAAAGAGAATAAAAGAAAGCCAGGCGTTACTGTATATCTATATGTATCTGCGTTCGCTCGTTTCACGGGTTAATTACCCTTACAACGCACCTAAAAAAGTTTCACTTCAAAAAAAAATTATTGTTTAACAGGTACTTGAATTCAACAGTAGGAAATATTTTGCTAATCAGTAGATTCCGTAAAAAAAGTGAAGAAGTTGAAACAACAGCTGAAGAGCAAATTTTTAGTTTCTGGATGGATTATTTCGTTGAAGCTACCAAAACTGAAATTGATGATAGTATTCGATTTCCAGTGAGTAAAATTTGTTTTATTATAAATATTTAGATGCCTAAAATAAATTGAATTACTATTTTTAGATATTAGTATTAGAACCTTCTAAAATATTTATGCCAAGTTATGTTAATGTAAATCTTGGCGCTGAGGAAAAATCAATACATGTTTGGAATTTATGTATGGAAAATATGCGAGGCAATTGCAAACAAGTGCATGATTGGTTATTTGTTGCCAACATGATTCGAGGTGTCAGGTACGTACAAATTTATTTTTATGTTTAATATTTTCTATAAGTAATGGTATAGAACCTTTTTCATTTTTAATTTCATTCACATGTCTAAAATGTGATTTTAGTTCATACAAAAGGGATGAGCGATGCTTATTTTTATACGTCCATGAAAACTCTGATGATTTTCAAATGTTTTTTCCTTCGTCTCAATGTCGACAACGTTTTTATGATCTCATCATACAAATGACCGAAGGTGAAGAAGGAATGATGACAAATTTAGATATTGATTCTACTGGCGAACAAATCAAAGTAAGTTTTTTAACAATGATAACTCATTAGTAGAAAATAATAATTTTAAATATTTAGTTTGAATACGAACTTGACGATTCTGAGAAAAAGATTGTTCTGGGTAAAGGTACATATGGAATTGTTTATGCAGCGCGTGATCTTAATACTCAAGTCAGAATTGCTGTAAAAGAAATACCAGAGAGAAACCTTGGGTATCTATGTTAAACTATTGATTATTTGTAGCCCTCATTTTTAATTATTAGCTTTATTTTTAATAAAATAATATTATGACCTAGTGATGTTCAACCTTTGCATGAAGAAATCAAACTTCATTCTCAGTTGCGACATCGAAATATTGTGCAGTATTTAGGTTCAATATCAGAAAATGGTTTCTTTAAAATATTCATGGAACAAGTTCCCGGAGGTGTGTATTTTTGTTTAACTGCTTATCTATATGTTACTCTATTTTTTTATTGCTATACAATTTAAATAATATGAAGATTAACCTAGGGTAGTAAACAAAAAACCCCATTTTTTGAGTCCATAATGTATACTTGTACTTTGTTTTTATGGATAAAAAAATACTAGACATTTGATTTGACAAACATTTTTCTATAAATTATTATTAAATGTAAAAAACTAACAGCTTGGATGTAACGATGTGTGAATAGTAACAATGTATTATATAAATTTATAGTAGAATATCATTAAAATAAAACTATTTTTATAGGGAGTTTGTCTGCTCTTTTACGTTCTAAATGGGGTCCATTGAAGGAAAATGAATCTACTATATCATTTTACACCAAACAGATACTCGAAGGCCTAAAATATTTACATGATCAAAAAATTGTTCATCGTGATATAAAGGGTGACAATGTTTTAGTGAACACATATAGCGGTGTAGTAAAAATTTCTGATTTTGGAACTTCTAAACGTCTTGCCGGACTTTGCCCAAGTACAGCCACATTCACGGGAACACTACAATACATGGCTCCTGAAGTCATAGACAAAGGTCAAAGAGGTTATGGTGCTCCGGTTTGTATAATTTCTATTGTAATGAGATATATTTACTTCTTATTTGTGATAATGTCACATAGTTGTTGTTTAGGCTGACATTTGGTCTTTAGGATGTACTGTTGTAGAAATGGCAACTGGTAAACCACCATTTATAGAACTTGGATCACCACAAGCAGCTGTTTTCAAAGTCGGTTATTATAAAATGCATCCAGAAATTCCACCTGAACTCAGTGAACGAGCCAAAAACTTTATACTCCGCTGTTTTGGAGTTGATCCTGATCGACGTGCAACGGCTACTGATTTGCTGGAAGATTTGTTTATGTCTGAGTATGATAAAATTTTAATTAAGCTATTATTTGAAGTTTCTATACAGATGTTGAATAACTATATTACGAAAATATTAGGAAGAAGAAAACTTCTAGAGCTCTTACTGCTCCACTAGAATTTAACCGTAGCATATCTGTACCAGCAGAAAAGGGCTTAAAAACCAACCAAGTGTCAATTGATCAAGAAATTATTAATGATAATGCAAATAAACAAAAAATTCCCACTGAAGATAGGTAATTGTTATAAATAATTAACACTATTTAATCTATTAATCAAATTGCACTATAATACAATTTTATTGAAGTTTGTTTTATGGTTGAGGTATTAAGCATGTTTTACAGTATTTTCTATAATGTAATATATTTAATATTAAAAAAAATAATATATTTTACAGTTGAAACTAGAAAATTGATTAATATACGTTTTTGTTTAACTTTTTTAATTGGGTTGTTGAAAAGTTATTTTACTCAATATCAATATAAATTGGTGATGATTAAAAATAAAAACCCCTTCTATTCTGAAATATTAATAGTTTTTCACTAAATTATTTTATAGTTTTTATCAAGTATTTCTCTAGAACAAACATGATTTTGAAGTCACTAGTATTGAATTTATCTGTTCGGAATAAAAAACGCAATTTTTAATAATATTTGCCTAGCATTATAACCATACAAATATTATTTTGAACTGATAAAATTAAAATTTGCCTTGTAACGTTGCTAATAACAAATGCAAAATGCTTCAGATTTATGCTACTAATGTGTTACTTAGTGAGGGCGCTTACATTGGAGTGTGTTTGTACACAGCTGGTTAACAAAATCCCAACCCGAAACAACCAAACGAAACCAGTTTCTCTCTCCCATCAGCTTACCAAACATGCTGCACCCTCATGACAGGTATTTCTCTTATCACATAAAAATATGTTAGTTAGTTTTTTTAATTATATAGCTTTAACATATTCTTTAATTATTTACATTATTGTGTATTTAGTTTTGATACACACGACGGCCACAGACGACAATCGTCGGGAACGTTAGTGTCTCCCGAAATCGACATGGGTACAGCAGGAAGTTCTGAGCATGATGGTTTCTACATGTTGAAAAAGGACTCTCAGCGTAGAACGACATTGGCTCGTGTCTTGGCTCATGACCAATTAACTCTGTGTAAAATTTGGATGTCCTATATTCGACGCGAGTTTGGCCAATCCATGTTGGAAGAAGAACACCTTGAAATGCTGATGAAGGGCCTCAGGGATTATATTACCAATCAAAACAGGAATGTAATTGAGAAGACTATCTACAATTTAAAGGATCAACTAGATTTTGACTCAAATGCTGTGCATCAATTAAACTTTTCCTTGTATTTATTTCAAGAAGCAGTATGGATTTATCATAAAAATGTAATTTTGTATATTTTATTCAGTTTTACTTTATACATTTTTAGGCAAAATCCGTACTACGGCTACATAAAATCAAACCTCATTGGATGTTTGCTCTTGACAATTTAGTGCATAGTGCAGTGCAAGCAGCCATTAATGTTTTAACACCGGGTATTTCATTAATTTGTTGTTTTATCATAATACATTATAATATTGTTAGGAACTAAATACATTAACCATTATTTACAGAATTTGGCGATATTCTTCCTGGCAAAGACATTAAACATGAAGGTAGTATATTCTCCATGACAGATGATACAAAAAATAGTTCCCCCTCATTTGGTTCATCGATAAAATCTCATAAAACAGATGATAGCTATTTAGAAAGTCTATCACCGAAGGGCAAACATGAACTTCATAAACGTCTACTTATGGTCCAAGCTGAAAATCATAGGTGTGCTTTATTTTCAATGTATTGATTTTAACAGTTTCTAATTATTAAGAACTTTGAACGTAATACTTATGTTTTTATTTAGCTATCTCGGTTTGAGAGGTTTGTATATAACAATCAGTTAATCATTTTATTTATTTACAATCATTGGTTTATTAAATTTATTAATTATTTTGTTATTCTTTCATCTAAAAACAATAGCATAATAAAGAATGAGTTGAAGACAAAATGAATATATCAAGCTAATGAGAATGTTTAAATGATGTGTGAGGTTAAGTAGCAGATAATGTTTAAGCTATTAGTAAAGAAAGATTTGAGGAGGATATAGCAATACTGCGGTAGAATTTAAGTCTTTTAAAGGTGGTCATTTATTAAAAGATAACAAAAATTTAAGAAACGGAAGAGTAATTAGATAACAAGAAGTAATATATAATTTACAGCTTATTAGTTTATTTTATCCAGAAATGCAAAAGTTAGCTATCTTATCACATTTTAATATATTATTTAATATTCATTATGTTATTGTTTCAGTTAAAAGTATACATTTAAATTGATTGGAAATTATTATGTATACTGTATTATATTTATAATAACATATGCAATTTACAAGTAAAACTTAAAAATCTTAAATGTATGAAATTAGGTTGATGGAAGAAGTATTAGAGTATCAAAAAGTATACAATACTTTATTGAAAAAAACATTAGAAGACCAAAAGAATCAAGTAGCTTTATTAAAAACTATCGCTGAACAAAATGCTTTAATTGTTGATTCCTGTGATGTCACAATTAATATTAGTGAAGAAATTGATGAAGACAATAAAGATCTCATAGAGTGGTTACGTATTAAAGGCATCGACGAACAATCAATTAGACGGGTGAGTATTACAGTTAAAGAGCTAATGTAATCGTTTAAATGCTTAAGTACTTCGATCATACAATCAAAAGTAATCAACACATGATTTATTTATTTAGTAGTTAATATTTAACATTTATGAAACTAATCTATACATGGGTGAAAACACAAAATATGAACAAACATTTGGAGCACCCCCTCCCCCTGAAACTTTTTGAAACTTACCCTGCATGTCCGTTACAATAAAAAGAATATTTTCTAATTTTTTTTTTTTTTCGATTATTTCGGCCATGGTCGTATAATGTATCCTCAACAAAAACCTGTAAGTTTCAAAAAGTTCCGCAAGGGTTTGCTCCAAAAGTTTGTTTGTATTTGGTGTTTTTACCCATTTATAAATGTGAACTGAGAATCTTTGTCACAAGTTGGCTCCGGAACAGCTAATCCGATAGTATGCTGGTTTATTTGATTTATAGAGTATATTGCAGAGCAGGTTTAGTCATTAAACGTAAAAAAAAAAACTAATCTAAACTAACAGTTTGAATAGAACTCAAACTCAGATGTCTTGCGTGTTGATGAGTTGCTCTTTCCTTTTAACTTCTACCTAAGTTGACACAGATGTGCATTTTCACAACGTGTGTAATATTATTGCCCAAATTTTTTTGGTATCTATTAATTTTCCTGGGCAAAGCGGGATACACGGGCAGCTAGTATAAAATAAATCGACCATTACTAATTTGTTTCGTTTATAATATAGTTGTAATTGATTCATAAAATTAATCTGTAATGATTTTTTCGTGATACATTAGCTCGTTGAAGCAAGAAATGTATTTGGGAGTGAAGCCAAAGCTTTAGCTATTAAGGCCTATATGTATTATATGGTATATATGTATTATTACAACTGAAAGTGATAAAATCACTTTCAAATAAACACTGATGCAAATTGGTAACGGTATACAAATATTGACAAAAGCATTGTATCTACTGACAATAATATGCTTGAAAATGTATTTTTAGTATCAGGGTGTATACGATGAGAGTTGACTACATTGAGGCGTCTAGTTTCAAAACTAATAGACATTTTTAAAATGTGTTTTTTTTAATGGCCACACTGTATGGTATGCAAAACTATTATTTAATATCATATAAAGATAATATAACTAACTCCAACTGTTTTTTGGAAAAGAACTAAAGAAATTGTTTGTTTGTGAAAATTTTCAAATATTGCTTATAACTGGTTTTGAAACTAGACTCTTCAATTGTCTGTCTATAATAATTTATTGTTGGTGTAATACATCGTAATTAAAAATATAATGAAAATATTTTCAATACCTATTGACTAGATTAGATTCACTCGCCAAAAAATTGACTACGGTTAAAATGTAACTTTTCCCTTTTAGCTTCGATGCGGAGTTGAGAAAGGTATTGTTTTTACAATGATGAGTGTTTTATATATTTTTTTTTTGTTTATGTGTAGACCCACAATATTTTTTAAAACGCTTAACCAATTTCTTCATGTAGCAACTTTAATATCTGTAGATCAGAAATCATACCTGAAAGGTACTTAATTGGACAAAACATTTTAAAAAATCCCCTTAAAATGCAGAAAAACAACTGAAAGTGACTATATCACTCTCAAATAAACGTTCAATGCGAATCTGTAATCATTAATGGTAGAGATAAAAAGAATAGATAAAAGCATTTTAATGACAATGTGTTAAATATGTATTTTTTGTATTGGAGGTATCCACCTTGATTAGGGTTGATCCCCTGCGTATAGTAATTAAGGATGTTACCCATGTATAGAAATAACTCAATAGATCAAAATTTGTATCTGAATGGTACTTTATTATGCCAAATATTTGAAAGCTTCACCTTTCTCTTTGAAATCGAAAATAACGCCCAAAAAAATGTACATCAATTTAAAATTACAGCGCTCTATAATAATATATTTTTTTAAAATGGTCTAATCAGTTCCAAATTTATTTGGAATATTTTTTTGCCATAGTACCACCGATAATAGTTGACAATCCAAACAAATATTATAAACCCTTTCCCCTAGAAAGGAGGGTGAAACATTTTTGCTTATTTCGCTTTTTCCAGAAATGTTTTAGGTCTAAAGGTCTGAAAATTAAACAGAAGATCTATTGTAAAAATGTAACATACAATTTTCTCAAAAATTATAGTCAAACTTTTTTTTTTACTAAGAAAAAACAAGGGAAAATGATTAACATTTTTATTGTGTTATTTAAAAAATTTAATATATAAGATTAATAAATATGCCATTCTAGGCAGGCACTGGCCTTAAGTTAACCCTGGTTTAGTACGATAATAGTTATTGTACTGTATGTAACATATTAGCTAGTATTAAACATTGCACTTAATCCAGTATATTAAAATTATAACTAGAATCTATTCACAATTCACACCCTAATGTACCATACTCTAGAAAATATACATAAATATAATGTAATTATAAATATACGTAATTATTGTAGCTTCGATGCATATCTAAAAATAAAAATAAAAATAGATTAATTTTGTGTTTTGACACGCAATATCTTTTAAACCGCTGAACCAATTTCTTAGTGTAGCAACTCTATAGATCAGAAATCGTACCTTAAGGGTACTTTATTTGGCCAATACTTTTTAAAGTTCACCACTTACCCTTCAAAATCGAGAAGAAAACCTAAATAAAATTTTTTAGGTTCAAGGTCTAAAAATTATACCGAAGATAGTAGTTCCAAAATTGTATAACACCAAATAGAAAGGGAAAAATTACAGTTTGACTATGGTTAATTGTCTTTTTTTTAGTTGCTATGCCTGAATGTCAACAATTATATGAAAACATTTTCTTTATATTGTGAATTAAGATAAATGGGTAACGTCAACAAATTATTATAGAGAAACGATTTTGTATCTACCCTTATTGTATCCTAATATTAAAAATACCCTATTAAGTATATTACTGTTATTATAATTCTTTTATCGTTATTTGTATTTTCACCATCTACAGATTAGCATTGAAGCATTTATTTGAAAGTGATTTTTATCACTTTCAGTAATAATAATTCCTGTAGTTTTGTGATCTTCCCTGCCCCAATATGCTTTGTCCCCACTATTTCTCGACCCCACTGAACTAGCTTTTTTCAACTAGCTGTTACTTCTAACTAATTTTAATAAATAAATAAATTTATTTTAATTGCTTATAGATAGTTTATGAACAGTTTACATTTGATGATTTACTAAAAAACGTCACTAGAGAAGATCTTAGAAGCCTAAGTTTGAGGTATTTTTTACTAGCTGTGTTCACCAAAAAGGCATCTTGTTTCTTTAATTAATTTAATATTTATTTATTTTGGTTTAGACGCGGTGTCGAGTTGAAACTATGGAAAGCAATTGAAAGACATAGATTATTGAATGAGTCTTCAAACCCAGATGGAATTACGCAGCATATGATTAACCATTTAAATAATAACTATGTTGAATAGTTACCACTCATTAACCTGTATAATTATTTTAGTAGGTATATCTTATTATGTACATTTAATTATGTGCAATAATGTTTTTGTTTATCCATTACAGTAATAAATCTAATATTGGTTTTATAATTATTACTTACATAACTATAGTTTAAAAGTAATTTATTACAATAAAACTATTTTTGGTATATTTTCTACGCCACTTTTTTATTCATGGTTGATGAAATATCATATTTATTTGTCTATTTAATAGTAACTGCTAGACAGTCAAATTTTACATTTGTTAAAATCATAATTAGTGTAATACAATTATGATGAAAATTAAAAGTTTTAACTAGCTACGGAGTTTTGTTTTTTATCTTAGATTATTCAGTGAAATTTTAGACTTCATTGATATCAACTATTTCAGTAAAAGTAATAAATATATTAATGTGTCAAAGGTTTCATACTTAGATAAATATAATTATACTTTTGACTTTAAATCAAAATTATTACACAATTATACTGACAAAATGTATGGCAGGCTTAAAAGAAAACAAATTGCAAAATCTATACAATATAATTTAGGTTTAAGTAGTATAGATTTAATACAATTTTTTTACTCAGACTTAGATTTTAAGAAAATTATTTTGCTTAAAATGATACTATATAGCCAGGGAAGAGTAAATAAAGTTTACTTCTTTCCAGAAATTCGAGAAAAACTCCCATTTATTGACATTTAACATTAACATTAATTATTAGCAGTTTTAATAGTTTCACTCTTTGAAATATTTTATATCAAGTAGTAATTTCAAAAATCTGAAATTTTCTCAAAATTAGTGGAGAGGAAGTAAGGACGCTTTAAGGAGGGTAGTTCTAAATGCACGAAGAGACGCACATGAATATTCATCCAATCGACATACATAATCACTCCAGTGCCTCATAAAAAACTAAGACGACACTCACAATGCTGAAGCCAGCAAAAAGGAATGATCTCTAACATTGCTCTAACTTTGATAGGCTGACTTTTTCTGGAGTCGGTCTTGGACTACCCTTTTTTCACCGTTAGGTTTTTGTTGTGGTATTTTATGTCTGTGGCATTTACAATTATTAATGTATGTGTTATTTTAATCGGTTGTAAGTTTAAAGGTACAAGTATGAGGATGAAAGTTTTCCTCTAACTGTCATCTGCCCAAAGAGAGAGAGAGACCTCCACTCGCCCTTTTCGCATTTATAAATACTATTATTATATACTTAATTTATACTAGTAGATAATATAATGTTAGCAATAAAAAAAATCTAAACGAATAAGAGCTTAATTTAAAACGCTTAGAAAAAATGTTTTTGACCAGGTAATTGGAATATTATATTTTTCCAGATTACTCCATTCTGAGCGTGACGGGAAAATGTATATGTTAACTGTATTTAACCGGGTTACTGTATTTTGACCTTAACAACGATACAATATATTAAATATTTTTAATATTGTTCCAGATTACTCAATTGTCGCCATAGTTTATGAAATTTATTGTTTCACTGTAGTCGAAAAGGAGTAATATACTATTGTTCTGATTACCTAAGTTATACATTTTAAAAACAAATAAAATAGCTAAAAATGGTGGGTGTTAAAGATATTGCTTAAAGAAAGCCGTAGACACATAAGCTAATTCTCTACAAAACTCTTCTAAGAACTATGGGATAGCCATTTGGGGGTCAGCGAAATCCTCGGATACAAGAACTATTCAGGCTTTCCAAAATATTTGTATGCGTGTGATCACCGGAGCTTCTTGGTTTGTGACAAATGACTTCAGCTTAACGTTCAATCGGTAAACAAGATCGCCGAGTTGTATTACAACCGTTTCCACTCAAAACTGAGCTCAAGCTCAAATCAACTTATCGTGCAGCTAGCAACTGACAACCTCCCTGGGGGAATCGTCTCAGGCGCCTCAAAAGGAGATGGTGCCGCGACTTAAAACGTTAATTTGATTTTATATTCATTGAGGTACCCCTAATGTGGGGTCTCCTCGCGTTAATCATGTACATATTTTTGTAAATATTATAAAAAAATTTACTGTAAACAATTTTTACAGATTGTACGTCTCAAAAAAAACGTTTCTAAAAAAAAAAACCCTCTGCTGTCTTTATTATTTGCAGAACTACGTTGTTAGACTTTGACAGTGATCTAGTTTTTTCTTTTTAGATTTACTTTATGAATGTGTCAATAATTGATTGAACTGTGCATGTATTGCTTATAAAGTAATGTATACATCAGTAAAATGATCAAATTAAGATTTACTCTAGATAGAACAGATTCCATACTGATTTTTAAACTGATGGTGCTCTGTGATATTACAATATTTATATTTACTCATAAAAATCATATACTTAATTTTTAGAGGATTATTAATTAATTTATAATATAATAATAAATAAATAATACAAGTACAACACTGAAAAAAAATTCTACTATAAATACAAATTAAAAATCTTATTATACAATAAATAAACAACATAAAGCATATTTGTTTTAATTTTAAAATAAATAGAAATTTACATTAATCATTTTTTATAATCATGGGAAATATAACGTGGTTTTTATTTCAAGTTTATGGACACAATACATTAAAAAAAATCTCTTAAATTTAAATAATTTTAAGTAAGAATATTTACTATTAAAAGTTTATATATTCTATCAGTATTTTAAATGTCAAAAACTTAAGAAAATTTGTTATGGATTAAATTATTATTTTATTCTGAAAATTTAAAGTCCCTCTTTTAAGTGTTCCAACAGCAAGTAAGGTGGACAGTTGCAATAATTATGAATAGTTTTTAATGTAATGTCCTCATTAAAAAACATTCCGATTTCAAACAATACTTTTTATTGCTGGGAAATATATACACTTCAATTAAGTTAAATGAAAAAGTATTTTTCAAATATTGACATCTTAAGTGTGCTAGTTTAGATTTTTGTTTACATTTATGAATTGCCAATTATATTACATATTATAAATATAAATGCATTTATCGAAGATATGGCAAAAAATTCACATAGAGGTATGAAGATTAAAACAATAAAAATATATTGAGCCATCATAGCAAAACTAGTTAAGTAACATAAAAAAATAGTAATAATATTAAAATATAGCGTAATAACTAATACAAATCAATTAACATGAATATGAATTAATTTCATCATTATCATTATCCAATTTTTCATCATATATTAACATGTTGTCGATAATTTTTGCCACAGCTTTGTAGTCTTTTTCATTGGTCTTATGTTTGTTAGTAGATGTCTTATGTCTTTTCAACACTTTTAATTCTTCTTCTAATGTGATTTTAGGAGCCTTAACTCGTTTTTTCAACGCTTTAGCCTCAATGGATTTGCTCAGTGGTGTTGGTGGTTCACTGATGACTATTGACTTTGCTGACGAGCCCGCCCAATTTTGATTAAATAATGGAGGTGTTACGCTTCTGGACTTGTCTGTGCGTGAAGTTAAACTTAATTTCCCTGGAGATTCCATTATATTGAAATTGCTCATTTCACCAAAACCGTCAACATCCAAGTCATCAAACAGACCTCCTTGTTGCGATGAATTCTTAACAGAAGATAACACTTCATTCTTCCTCTTTTTTTTACCATGGTTTTTAGGTTTTTCATCAAATACTGTAGTTTCGAGTTGTTTTTTAGAAAGTTCCTTGGCTTTTTGTTTAGTCAATTTTGTTTTAGTTAAGACACTGTCATTTTTTAAAAATTTATGATTAATGATATTTTCTTTTTGGGAACAATTCTTTAATGAGGTTTTCGAGTTATGCTGCTTAACGAGTTCAACCGAACTAGTTGTGGAATTTGTATTTGTTAATTTGAGTTTAGATAGGCTTTTATTGGTACTATTCATTGAAAAATTATCTTGTGTTTTACTTCTGGACTGTTTAATACTATTAATGCTGTTTACATTTAAATTATTTACCGATTCTTGCCTGGACTGGTTAGAACAATTGGCAACAACTAGAGAAGATTTGTCTGATGATGTTTGTTTTGATTTACATTTAGTAGATATTGCAGTTGTCTTGGCTTTCATTTTGCTTGATTTATCAATTGGAGTTAGACTTTGAGGTTTCAAAAAATTATTTTCCTAGAAAATTATAATAAATTCAATTTTACTATTGGCACAATTGAAATGACTGGTTTTTTTTTTTAATTTAATAATTAGCAATACGTGTAAAATAAAAAATCAGTCTTCAGCATGACATACATTAATACTACCCACATTTACAGTTACTCTAATAATAATACTAACCGGCACTGCTAAACCTTATTGTTAAATAAAGTCTAGCCAACCAAGACTGTTATTAATTAAGGTATTTTATAAAACAATAAGTTAAAAAAAGTTTACTCCTTCCTCATCACATATTAATAAAAACACAGAGGGACAGAGTCGCTGAGTAGATAAAGGCGGCGGTGCTGAAAACCAAAAACGCTGGTTTAAATCCAGCCACGGGCGGTCTTTCTCACTGTGCAGGACAATCTGTTTAGGAGAAAAGACTGCCATCCCCTCCTCTAAGCATAGTAGAAATAGCGGTGGAAAAAACGAAAAATTATCTTATTTTTACACATAACTATTTCACTGGTCGATAACCAGTTTCGGATAACTATTTTTGACGTTTAAAGTTTAGGGCAGGAGGAAAGGTGGAGTGTATTATTTTTATCTGCACGCAATTCCCCTCCCATCCTAACTTTTAAACTTTAAAAATAGTTGTCCAAATCTTGTTATTATTATTATTAACCGGTCAAAAATTTTAGTACATTATTTTAAATTAAAAAAATTAATAAAATATATATGTTACCATTTAAAATTCAAAAGTTTCTGTCAAAAAAACTAAGTTGGGAAGGGCGTAAGAAAAAAAATTGTGAAAAATTTACATCACATTGTACAAAACCACGTGAAAAAAAAAAATTAAATTTCTTATTAAACCTTATGAGATGATGAATAGCCCATGATAAAAGAATCACCCTATATAAATATTTTTTTTTCTTTAAACAACACTCAACATTTAAATGAGGATTTGGAGGAGTAAACACTAAAATGTAATGCTATTTTTATGATTAATCGAATTGGAAATAAAAAATTAACGTTGACCTTATATTAAAATAATTTTAAGATAATAAATATTTACAAAGTATAAATTACCTGTGTTTGTTTAGTTAATGATTGTTTTTTTTTTACAACAATGGAATCATTAACAGCGTCGAGAGTTTTACTACTCTTACAGTTTGCTACAGCATTTTGGCTATTCAACTTATGACATAATTTTTTTTTTAAAAGTTGACTTGGAGTGTGACTTGGTTGCAGTTTTGGTCTCTTAGGAGTTGATGCCAACAAAGGTATTTGATACCTTTGTTGCTTATTTATACCATGTTCTGCAGTCGAGTCATACTCAGAAAATTTTCTTTTACAAGAAACTTCTTTATGTGGAAAGAAACTACTATTATAAGTGGTACCTTTCCTGGTCATACTGGCATTCATACTAGCAGGTGGTTTAGATGATTTTACGGGCCCAGCAGGAGATTCCAGAGAAAAATTTAAAGCTTGTTTTTCGGTTACTTTTTTAACTGTTATAGATTGTCTGATTAATAACTTCCAATTCTTTGGTATACCCTGGATCTCGCAACATATATTATAAATATCTTTTGGGTGACCTCTAACAATATTACCCATTAGTCGATAAATGCCATTTTTGGTTTTTATAAGATTTTTTTCTTTGCGCGTTTCCAAAATTCCAGCATCATGACCTTCTTCCAGTGTAGTTACTTTATCTTCAGCTATGAGTGTACCTAAAAAGTAAAAAAAAATATTTAATAATAATTATAAATATACTGTTTCAAATCAATAATAGTTTACCTGACACTACTAACACTGCTTTTACATTTTTTTGGTGTGTAAATTGTTTCAAGTTTACTGACCACATAGATAAATACTTCACTATATTTTTGGTTAAATTATTCAACTGATTTTGAGGAATGATATTTAACTGACTTGTATGATCTGTTTTGGTAGAACAGTTTGTTTTGTTTGGTAATCCAACAACAATTTTAAATCCAACACCTTCTAAAAGAGATTCTACACTATTACTCTTGTTTTGTGAACCAGTATTATGTTGTGATCTAGAAGTGGATGTGTTTTCAATTATTGTCATATCAGAGTATGCATTCGGAATAGCAGCTTCGTGTAATTCTGGCTCATGCTCTTCGGTTTGATTTCTTGTATCATAATGTGATTTTTGACTTTCTTTGCTCATTTGTTCATTTAATTCAACAACTGTAGTACGTAACTTGGAAGATCTTGAAGAACCCTCCGTACTCATTACTAAGTCATCAATACACGGTAATACTCCATTTGGCCGCATCGTAACACTTGTTGGAGGTTTAAATGGGTTTAAGGGTTCAATAGGTTGATAATTTGTTTCTGGAAGCCGGAACGCACTTTGACGATTTGTACTGATCATTGATATTGTAGAAGATGGTCTGCAATTGAAACTCATAGAAGGTCTTGAATACATAGGAGCAATATGTGATACATTTGTCAGGCGAGTAGCATTTGCACCACTACGCTGGCCTTCTTCTATTATACCCTTTACTCGTTTTAGAAAGTTTGAGAATTCAAACTCAAATTTACGAAATGGTTGAACTTGCAAAAACTCTGTCATGGTGTTGCGTAACTCCATAGTTTTATCTTCCATAATATCATTGAAAAGTAAAGTTTCAGCATGTCCGGGCATCATCGTAAGTGGTCTTATTGGGGCTAGAGGCGCCTTAAATGTAGATGAAGTTGTGTCAAATTGATGGTTAGCCATAGTATCCAATCAAATCAAAAGAAAATGATTATCTAAAAAATAAAAATAAAATAAAACATTTATTACAACTCGCAAAACAAGATTTCAAATATAGCAAAACACGTATACTTCCATGGATATCCTATAATTATTTTTTATTGTACTCTTTCAAGATGAAAATAAATTCATTTAAATTTATGGACAAAAACTCAATTTACTTCAAAATGCAATAACTTTGTATAAATCAACTTTTTTCAAAAATAATTTATTTTTATACCATTAATTTTATTTAATTTATACACTACAACAAAAAAAGGTACTATAGTTTAAATACAGAAAGTATAGAATAATATTATATTGACATTTTTAGGTTTGTTGTGACTCTCTAGTTTTGCTTCTCGATATTTTGCTATTCTCTAATTAATAAACTGTCAACACAATAAGCGGGGAAAAAAAATATTCCTACAACGAGATAAAAAATGGTATAACAACACGATGCGACTACTAACGGAATTTTCAAAGACTCGATTGCTTAGGGGTTAAAAAACATTCATAATACAAAAAAATTAACAATTGCAACAAATAATACAGTGACTAAAAAATATTGATAATTATGATACCTATGCACTAGAAAAACTTGAGCAACTTATTGTTATATATAATAAAATAATATTTAAAACCCTTAATCATAAAAAATGTCGTTAGCGCTGAAGATGACAACATCGTTGCTAAAATACGTCGTATACGCGGAGAGTATATAATTTTTTATGGTTAAGGGTTTTAAACATTATTTTATTACCTATGTACTGCTACATAAAAATAGTATTTTTCTTGATTTAGAAATCACAAGAAACCACCAGTTTAATGTCTAATTACAGACTTACTTAAATTTGACTTGCTAAATTATAATAATTTTATGAACTCTCTTTAAATTTGCTTTAAAGTTATAAATATTAGTTAGGTACTGTCTTATTTGATGCAGACGTTAATATGGTTGTGTTAAGGTGCAGACCGAATAAGCACGAATTTATCATATATTTAGTATTCTTACTAGTTACGAAAGCTACTCTTACTAAATAAGACTTGTATTTATTTAGTGGCCTAGAAAAAAAACTATGATGCATTAACGTTATATTGAATGTTTACATTTAAATTAAAGACTCCCACTTACCAAAATTAAAAGTTGTAGATGGACCATTTAATGACCATCGGTGAAAAAGTTGGATTCACAAATATTATTAATCAATAAAATTATAAAAGCAAAATGTTATAAAAAATATTAATGTGAGAACGTAAATGTAATAAAACGAACTAAACGTTAACAAAGCTAAATTTAAATAACCGAAAATGGAAACTAATTGAAAACATTATATATTACGAACTGCTATTTTAAAATTTAACAACGGTATGTTCAATGTTGTACTTGTTGTTGTCATTTAGATTTGAAAATTTAACATTCATTCATCATTCATTGGGCAATCCGCGATAGGAGGGTTTGATGAAGTTTCACCGTTCGTGTTTGAAATTAAAATTTCGTTTGTAAAAGTGGTAGGGAGTAAGGAAAACGTTAAGATTTTGCTAGGCTATTTTACAGTGTAGCCAAATATACCAACCATTTCCCGCCAAAACTAACCTCAAAACTTGTCAATGATAATTGATAAGTGATAATAGATAATTATTGGTCAATTAGAAAATAATAAGTATAAATCATTAATAAATAAATTATAATTTATAGCTGTAGGTAAATAAAATAAAAATGTATAAATATTAAATCACAACACTGCCATTTGGACGAACAATCTTTTATATTCATTCTTGTTAGATTCGAACGATGTGATTTGTGAAGAACACTTTCAAGAGGACCTTATATTATATTATGTTTGATAAATTTAATAATATTGTTTAATAATTACTCACAAGACCTTGCTTTATGCTTACAAAAAAAAAAAGGGCTGACTACACATTTTTACTCATTTGTTGTTAAGTAGAATTTATTTGCTATAGCAGTCATATATTTGTATGTTAACAATGTATTTAGATCACAATTTGTAACAGAAAAGTTCTAACATTTTTGTTATTAGTTATAACTATGATAGTTATTGAGGTATGAGAGTGACTCTCATATAACGGTCATTCGCATAACTGCTGTAGCAGTCATGTCCGTCAACTTGTTAAGAGGGCGTCGCATCGCCCATTTTTAAGGAGTAAAGTATAGGCAATTTTTTACAAAATCTTAATTTAAAGGTTAAACTGATGTGTAATTATTAGTTCAATAACTAGGACTCTATTTTGGTAGTTAATTTTTTTTTTGGACTATCACAGCATCCTTGAAAGCGATTTAAAAATGTTTTTTCATCTTAACTTGTTTAAGCAGACTGAAAATAACTCGCTTAATTTTGGATTTAGAGTACAAACACTTATTATAAAATTAAAAGAGAACAATATTTCGGATGGCAGGACGGTGCGTTTTTTTCATTATTCTAAGTATAACGCTCAATACATAGTTTAGAAATAACGACTATTTTAACATTTTTAAATGACTGTAACTTATATAAAATTAATTTTTTTTAAAAAACGCACCTCTTGCTCTCCGGAATATTGTTTTCTTTCAATTTCATAATGGGTGCTTTTACTCTAAAACCAAAATTAAGCGAGTTATTTTCAGTCTGCTTAAACATGTTTTTACCACTGAAAATCACCGGTGCGATGCCCTCTTAAGACAAACTTGAAAATGTCAATAATTTATAAAAAGAACACCAGTGACCAGTAGTAGTCATAATTCATTAAAAATGAATACATATAATGTGCATACAATTCAATCAAGATCATTATACATTTTTATAATATTAATTGATTAAATATGATTTAATTATTATATATTTCCATGTGTGTGTATCGTCATATATATAAAACTTTATTATCCCATGTCTTTTCAATTTGTATTCCATGGGAAACCTAACAACTCTATCTATCTATTTCTAACGTTTAATAACGCGGCAGTATGTGTGAGAGGCGCAGTCCATATCTTTATAGGTCTATGGTGTTACATAGTCCATTCAAAATAGCCAAAAAAAAAAAAGTTAACTTCGAAATAATTCGCATAGAGCTGAAAATTGGTACACACCTCAAGTATACCATTACAAATGAAATGTCAAAAGTCCCCATCGATCCCAATGCTGCTAAAAATTGTATTCGAGGTCAAAGGCCACAAAAATAGGTTTTTCTCACATGTCTATTAAACTTTAAGTATTTTCGTAAAAATAGCTTTTACATAATTAGTAGATCTAGTAATTTCCTAGGAAAAAAAATATCTTTAATTTTTTATAATAATAATAATAATAATACATAATTTAATCATTGTATCTTTCTATATTATTTATTTTTTTTAAATACAGAACCAATGAGGGGGAACTGTTTTCCACATGACTTCCCCTCATTAGCCGTCATCGTTTATTCACATATGTACATATATAAATACTGTTTTTTGTAAGAAAATCCACTTTAACCCTGCGGGCGGGGGGGGGGCTCACATTTATATTTACATGCCCGGTTTTATACAATTATTTACAATCATTACGCTATTATGTCACTCTTCCTCTAAGGAGTCGCTCCCGTTCTCTTCCGTCTTTTGTTTTCGCATCCATTATCGTGCCCACCATGCTGACGAATGCTGTCTGCGCTTTGTCAGCGGCCTCTATGACTACCTAACCTAACCTAACCCACTGTACGCTCTACAGTGTCCATCGGATCCTGACAGTACACACATTGTGGACTCCGGGCTATTTTCCTCCTCCACAAAGTACTCTTGGAAGCACCCTGTCAACACTTGTGTTAGGTGAAACGTTACTACCGGGTTCGGTCTCCCTATCCATCGGGCCAGACTCGGCAAGATCCGTCTAGTCCAGCTAGCTTTCGGTGAAGCGCTCAACTTTTCCTGCCACTCGGTAATTGTTCTAGCCCTTTCCGCCGGTTAAATGCTAATAGGTTGGGTAGTACCTTCTGCCTTTCGAAACTTAACCCTCTCTCTCTCTCTCTCTTGGGTTATTAAGTCCGCTGGTGGCATGCAGGCCAACATCAGGGCCGCATCGTCAGACACGGTGCGGTAGGCTCTGATTACACACGTAGGGCTACTCGACGTTGGACTTTGATACACGCCTTCCTATTTTTTGCCGTCTTTAATGCAAGTTTCGCCCATGTTGGTGATGTGTGGGACATTTTGGAATGCACTACCGTCGTTAGCAATAATCTTTTCGATTGGGACGGTCCGCCGATGTTTGGCATGAGTCTTCCAATTGCATTCGTTGTTTTTCCAACTTCCATAGTAGCTTTATTTATATGAGTTAAATGCGTTTTTAACATCCAGTGCTATGTTTTCCTGGGTTATCTAACATACACAGAGGTCTGTAGCTAGATAGCTGGTCTACTGGTTTATCTCCTCCCTTGTAAAGTAGCACGAGCCTGGCTCGTTTCCACCTAAGCGGAAAATAGCCGGCCTCTAAACAGGCGTTTAGAGCATCTAGTACTAGGTTCGGGGAATGTTTTGGACCTCGTTTAGAATTCCATCCGGTCCTGGTGCTTTTCCAAATGGCAGTCGAGTAACTGCCGCTTCCAGCTCTTGCATAGTGAAAGATGCTGCAACAACACTGTTTTGGCGTCCATTTTCGATTGGAATAGAGTCCCAGTCTATAACTGCATGATCTGGGAAGAGATAATCTGCGATTTCTTCTTCCCGTCCTTGTGCCGCAGTACAGTATGTGTGTCTGACCAGCTTTTTTGTCACAACCTTGTATGGTAGCCCCAAGGATCACCATCGATAGACCTACATAGATTATCCCAACATTGTGCTTGAGCATTTCGTATCGCGTTCCTCAGGGCTTTCCGGGCATTCCTCGCTTCACCTTTTTCTTGTTTGCATAGATAAACTCCGTGGCGTTGGCTGCTCGTTGGTAACGCCTGTGAGCGGCTAGGGATTTTTTTCATAGATCTGCAATTTGTTCATTCCACCAGTACACCCCTTTCTTGCGGTATGGGTTGGCTTTGCCTTTCAGCGGCATACAAGCATTACAAGCACCTATTAGATAAGTGCTTAATTCCTCCACTGTCTCATACACGCTTGTCGTAGACTCAGCATAAGGTTTTGTTGAGGTTTGGCAATACTCTGACAGCTTGGACCAATTCAATTTGCGAGTAGACCATCAATGGTGTCATTGTTGTGTCACTCCTTGACACGTTATTTCTTATTTCCTCTGTAGGATCTAGGTTGAACTCGATGTATAGATGGTCGCTTAGGGAGTCCATCTCTGTCACAACTTTCCAGTTTTTAATTTTCAAATTAGTTCCTCGAATTAATTGGTCAAGAATAGATTCTGATGCTCCTCTGCGGAAGGTAGGCTCAGTTCCCGCGTTTCCTAATCCGAAGCCCATGCTTGCTATTAATTCAGCCAGTAATTCACCCCAGACAAATAACTTTAAAATAGTCTAACACAAATACAACTATTGTTGTAGGTAAAGATTTCGATTTGTTAATAATACTAACTGCACGAACTTCTGTGGTAAGACGATTTACCTTTTGAAACCTGGAAAAGCTCAAACAGAAACAAAAATGTATTCATCACTAAGTTTAACCTCATATTCAAAATGTCAAGCTCATATCTTATTTTTACATGCAATAACTGGCTGTGATATTACGTCAGCACTCTATCAAAGAGGTAAAACAGAAGTATTTAAATTATTTGAAAAATGTCAGGATTTAGTTGATTGCGCTGAAGTATTTAAAAAGATTGACTCTTCTCCAGACATTATTCTTACAAATGGAATTCGTTTCCTTCTTGCAATGTACGGAGCTCTAAAAAAAATTGATTCTATTGACAAGTATAGATATTTAAGTTTTGTAAAAAATACACGAAGTAATAAAAGTGTTAAGTTATCCTGTCTTCCTCCAAAATCTTCCGCTGCTTAACAACATTTATATCGTGTCTACTATCAAGTCCAAGTATGGCTAGGAAACGAACTGAACCCTGAAGACTGGAATGGTTATTTAAATATAACAGTTTGGAGCAAATTCAAACTACTCCCTCCTGCTCCAGAAATACTTCTTAATAATATTTTTTGTAATTGCAAAAAAGGTTGTAATTATAAATGTGGTTGAAAGAAAATCGGTTTATTTTGTTCACTAGTATGTAATAACTGTCAAGGCCAGTCTTGCTCCAATGTTGAATCGAATACCATAGATAATGAAATTTATGATTAAGCTATCAATGAAAAAATATTTGATTCATCTTTTTTATTAAATCAACCTATAGAAGTTCAGCTACAAGAGGATGAAGTAAGTGAAGAAAAACCATAATATAGATTTCAAAAAGAAGAATATTACTGTCGAAAAATTTAAAGACTATTATTCATCTTAACATAATTTTACAAAATCAATTGAACTTGATTCCTAATAAAGAGTTCTGGTTTAATAATTAATTATCCATTGTACCATTTTTTTTTTCAATTCTAAAAAATCTTTAGTAAAAATGTATTTCACAAAAAAATTATAGATTATACCTTCAGAGAATAATACAAAAAAAAATGTGCCTAACACCTCAAAGATATTAAAAAGATGAAATTTATTTAAATTTTGAAACCGCAATATCTCGTGAAATATTACTCACAGGAAAAAATTAAAGATACTTTTTTTTAGAAAATTACTTGATCTACAAATTATGTATAAGCTATTTTTACGAAATTACTTAGTTTAAGAGATATGTAAGAAACCCTATTTTTGGGTCCTTTGACCTCGAATATTTTTTTTAGCAGTAATGGGATCGATGGGTACTTTTGACATTTCATTTGTAATGATGTACTTGAGGTGTTTACTAATTTACAGCTCTAGGTGAATTATTCCGAGGGTAAATGTTTATTTTGACTGGACTAACAATATGACAATCAGCAATTGTTTGTAATTGATAGTAAATACTTAATGTTTTCGTAATTTTATTGTATTTCATTTTATTTATCAGTCATCAAAAACAGAATATTTTAGTAATTGTAATAATATCATTATTCAGTCTGTACACCGTATACCCGTGTTATTCTTCGTCGAAAAATTCGTTCGTTCGTTCAAAGTACAAAAAAATAGCAAGTGCCGCTTTTCTAAGAAAAATTGTATTAGAGCAAAATCTTTGAGGCGGCCCAAAAAAGTCAGCTTATAGTAGTGATATCTATATCGTGGCCAAGTCTGCTATTTCTTTAGTTCATAACCTTACTTCACTCCTATTTTAATGATCAACACATCTCTTTTATTTGTATTGCTTAGCACTTGACCAGTTTCTGAATGAAGCATAAAACATCATTATCAAATGTACTTACTTGGGAGTTACGTGGGTGATAGGAAGGCGATAACTCAGAAGATAAGAAAAGAGGTTCAGATCTCGTCCCAAAAAAGTCAGCAAATCAAAGTAGCGGTTGTCTGTTTTATGCCTCATTCAGGAACTGGCCAAGTGTTAAGCAATACAAATAAAAGAGATGTGTTGATCATTAAAATAGGAGTGAAGTAAGGTTATGAACTAAAGAAATAGCAGACTTGGCGACGATGTAGATATCACTACTATAAGCCGACTTTTTTTGGGAGGGGGGTCTGGAACTTGGCCCTTTTTCGCTGTTAAGTTTTTGTTGGGGTGTAAGTAATTCGGTCCAAAGGAAAAAAAGTTACTTTCTCAGCTATCATTTCGATGCTATAATTGAAATTGTTTTAATAACCTATTCTAACTAACAATATAGACGTATAACTAAATTTTTAGTTGATACTAATAATGTAAATTAATAATCCAAAATTTACAATTAACGCTGTTTTAGCTATTTAAAAATCATATAGGTAAAACCTAACCTATATATACTTGATATAGTAATACTACTTGATATGGTATACTTGATATAGTAACAATATCAAGTTGTGTATATCTAAGTAAAATTTACAAATTAACTCGGACACTAAATAATTGCTTTAGGATTTCAACTGGGAAATTAGTTTGGTTTCAATAAAAATATTTTACTGAGATAAACAGCTTTATATTGTGCAAACATATTTTAGTACTTATACGATTTTTAAATGGCTAAAATAGCGTTTATGTGAAAACCCTGATTTTCGAATTCTCATCAGTTGATTCTTGAGAAATTATAATGTAACTTTATTTAGTTTTAAAAAAATGAACAAATCTTGATTCCGTTAATCCAATGGACTTAATTATTAGAATTTTCATCATTTTCATTTGATACGTCTACTTTATGAAACTCTAATCGTGGATCAATTAAAACTGATGACAGAAACTCCATCTTTTTCAAATCTTTAAGTAGTTCATTAACCTTTACGTTTATGATTTCAAGTCTTCGATTAAGATCTTCAATGGATGAATGATTCGACATTTTCTTTAAAACCAAAACATCGATTTATATTATTTAGTGCAATATAAGTGATGTAGCTGTATAAGAATGTATATATATATATATAATTCATATTATTATTATAATACATAACAACGGTAGTTTTTTTGTCCCGGGTCTCACAACTGTCATCTGGAATTAACATGTTTTAAAAACGTCAAATTGCGTATAAAAAAGTAGAACAATTAAATGTAAATTAATAACGTCGAATTAATAGATTTTAACAACTTTTCCAGCTAAAACTGTAGTTGTTGTTATGTTAGGACTTTTCATACCTCAAAATTAATGTTTATATATTTTAATTATGAAAATTCTAATTTCTGTGGTACTATACCGTAAATACCAATATTAGTATACAAACTGTATTAATAAACAAAAGAGCAAATTGTCGTAATCAATATTTTTCGATTACGATTTCTGATTTGTTGAAGTCTACTGGTGAAAAAGTCGTCGTGGTAACAAAATTAAAAATACATCGTCGTAAAGCCGATGCTTCTCAGATCCGCATGGAAGCTAATCATTTCTTTTTTTTTTTTAAATAAAATTTCGACATCTATGGCTATTATCGGTCAGGTTTGTGTAGGTTGAAAAACTCTGGTGGTCACCCATCCGGAATCAACGGCGCAGCTTCAGACGTCCAGTGTTAATTGAGATTATACCACTGCACCACGCCATAACCACCAACAAATAATTATTAATAATAACGAATTATTCATGTCAAATTGTATTCGATAGTAGCGCAGATATTGAATTGTTTCCACGATCGAGAGCGCGGTAAAATTGTATCCGCGTTTACGATGTGTCGTTTTTAAATAACTCTTTTAAGAAGTACAATACACAATAGGTGCATTAGGCTTGTATTTTTTAAGTACGCGACAAGCGCGTTTTATTTAATTATTTCAAATCAAGGTGCCTCAAGAGCTGTTAAGAGGCAACAGCTGTCGAGGCCTGCGAGCGCCGACCCCCGGTATCAGCGCCGCAGAGCACAGCCGTTGACCGTCAGCCGCCGGCCGCGGTGTACGAAAATCGAAATACGAATTACAAATGCGCTATGCGGACTAGAAGTGTGCCGCGAGGCCGTGTGGACATGATAGGCCAGACAAGAGCGCTCTACCGTCGTCAGTCGGGTGGTGCGCATGCGCACAACGCGGTCTTAACGATTTTATAATATTAAATTATATTACACGGCAGACCCGAGCGCGCGCAACGGCCGGGTCGCGTTAAGCTCACGACGAGTCACGGGCGAGCGAGCGAGAGGGAGAAATAACGTGGTTTTTATCATTATCGGTTGGCGTTATTTTTTCACCGCCTCATGGCGCGGCGATGCACGTACCTCTTGCCGCTCCCGCCTCCCTCGAATCTGTCTCGGCTCTCGTAATTGTGCGCGCGCATACAAACACACACACATTTTGTTTGCGGTGCGTGCACCATTTTCACAAAACGACATAAATCTCCTTAATGCGATATTGGTCCTATACAATAATAATTGTTGTAGGTTTGAAGTAGTGTCAATGGACGGCCCCTCCCCTCCGCTTTGTAAATAAAACTTAGCCTTTAAATTTTACCTATTGTACATACTAATACAGATTGTAAATATTTTCAAATAAAAGAAAAAAGGTTTTTTCTAGATCGTTGTAGGTATATCGAAATCGATTACCGGCTCGATAGTACGCATAAAACATTGTTGTCACTACAGCTATTTATTTTGGTCGATAAGCGGATTTACTGTACACCGCCGCGCCGTCAGATCGGTCATCAGTGGTTGGTTGTGCCGTGTGCGGTGTACGTTAAATACAAAAGCTCGGGTAAAAAATTTGCGTCGGTTGGTTGTGTACGGCGATAACAATTATTAAATCGAAAAATATATGATATATATTTTAACAAAACGTCCCGTATTCCAATTTATTAGCCATTCCAGACGCTGTAGTGGTAGTAGTATGTTGTAGTACTAATGGTCGCCAGACCGTAGTATAATAAAGTATCAGAACTATCCGTTGTCAAGTGTTTGTGTACCACGCGAAACACTGCTATTATAATATATATATATATATATATATGTTATTATAATATAGTGAAAATATTATACCGACCAATGCTCACACACTCACGTAAACACATACGCTCTCATACGGTGTAACAACGCGCGCGCGATTATGCGGCCAACAGCAGCAGCACCTTCGCTGTCGCCACCATCAGCAGCGAGCAGCAGCTAGCTAGTAGTACCGCCGCGGCCGACGATAAGTGCTAATCTAAAAAAAAAAAAAGTATAAAAACTGGCTCGTTGTTGGTTACTTTTTTATTATTATTATTATTATTATTATAGCTTGTAGGAAACCGGCGTTATAACGCTCCGTCGTCTTCGCTGTCATTGGCGCGCGTCCAATACCGAATTTCGATTGGAAATATCATATTTTATTATTATTTACACTGTTCGGCGGTTCTAGTGATCATTGATAAGTCAAACGATAAATTTTAATAGGCATTTCGCGTTATTCCATGTCCACGCCAACGCGTACCGTCATAGCCAAAACGATATCATAATACTTTTGTCAACGTCGTGTTCGGCGCGTTATCAAACGTGAAAATAATACTGTTCAATCGGACGTTAATGTCGCACGCGGCGTGACGCGGAGACTTGTGGACGACGCCACAGTGAATAAGCACCAGCAGCACGGGTTCGGTACCGTCGTCGTCGTCGCCGCCACCGCCGCCGCCAACACGTCGTCCGAATACGTCAAGGAAGTGCGGACGCCGGATAAAGAAATAGCCAGCAGCAGCAGCGGCAACCCCGACGTACGAGACGCAACCATGTCGAACAACAGCCAAAAGTTGCCCACTACCGAGAGGGTGATAAAAAGTGAGTGGTCAATAAATTCGTATTTTTTTTTTTTGCTTTTCCGTTTCGCTCTATTTGTCCTCTCGTCATTGCCGTTGCCAGTTATTATAACGGAATGTGTTTTTCACCCGGCTGAGTTTTCCTCTCGTTTAACGATCGAGCGTGCGCCCCCTCCCTTATTCGGTTTTCCTCATCCCCCTCGTGACCGATTCCTTCCCTCCGACCTTGCGATGCCGCCGCCGCCGCCGCCGCCACTGCCACTATAGCCGTCGCGGTCGCCGATTGTCTATAAATACCTATAATACCTCGGGTGTACGCGTATTTCCATACGCAATATTATATTATATTGTAAAACCGAGCGTGTTAAATGCATATTTAATTATCGTCGACACACTATGAATGACCATGTCGTAGCGGTCGTTATCAAAACGGTCGATTTCGGTAAGGTACACCAGTGTACCGTGTAATATAATACGGCGTACACGCGAAACGGCCTCATCTCGTTATCTGTGTCCTATTCGCGCCAGTGTGCTGTGTGTGTATGCGTTAAAAATCAACAATTTTCTGATAACAAACAACTACCGCTCTCTCTCCCGTTCCACTGGCCCGCTCTACACGGATCCTCACTCACTGCGACCCGGTTGCTTTCACCCGACAGCGCATTAATCTATTTGTATATTATGATATACGATAACCAATAATAATAATAGTACATTTACAACAATCACACGGAATTTTTCAATATATTACAATATTATTATTATTGCTGTTGAAAAACAATGTTTACACCATGTTGACAAATGTGTCTGTAATGTTATAAAATATTATTATCAAAATTATTATTGCTATCCGCACGACTAGTTTGCGAGAGGAAAACAGAACACCGAGAAAAAAAGGCCTCCGTTTATTTATTAGTTATGAGTTATGACATAAGGTCGTTATTCCGCTGTGCAAACGTCACCAGGGAAGGGATGCCACCGACGATTCGTATAGTTTTTGCTCATAATATGTATCTGTAGATCCATCAACATCGGTAATGGAAAATTGTAACGAAAAAACCACTAATCTCTCCCTCCATTTTATTCGAATTTACATCTTATTGTTCGGTAAGCAGCTGTACGTCATAATGATATGGTAATTTATACGCGATTGGAAAGCGCGTAAAACCTATGTAAAAATACGCGTGAGTGTGTTGATTGTACACGGTACGGTGGCTGGCCTTCTGCCGTCGGTTTACGGGTAGAAGTTTAATCCTATTCTAAAAATAAAAACCGATAATGCAGAAATGTAATTCTAATAGTGGTCGTCTTGTCACAAAATTATTGAGACGTGTCAATAATAATTTTCCAATTATGTACTACCGCTCTGATTTTCTTATCAATTCATCATCATCAATACTGATATTTTTTTTAAGCGCGTCACCGTGTTTCTTATTTTTTTAATTATTTGCCGGAAATAACAATATGATACCGTGACGCTGCCATTACTTATTGATTTCGGTCGTTAATTAGATCACAAATATTGTGTAACTAGTCTTTAAGTACTCTAACACCCCAGCATACAATATAAATGAAAATTACTTTACTCTAAATTATGCAATTCATCAGTAATAGCTTGTTATTTGCATTGCTTAAAATATAAAGCCTTGAGGACGTATGTTAAAATATAATCAAAACAACCTTTATTTAAAAAAAAAAACTGAAGGTGTGGTATTTTAAATAGTAAATGCTTATTTATGTGCAATCTTACCTACCTAACGATTCCCGAATCAAAAAATAAATTTTTCAAAATGTCTCGTGAGTATTATATTCTTAACAAACACTCAATGAATCAATTACCTTAATAAAGTCAGTGCATATCCATGGCACAGTGCACTTTTTAATGAAATTTGGTAGTTAGTCATATATATACATGTATGTGTCATTGTAAAATTGAAATTGTAATTTGTGTATCATTATTGGAAGTCAAAGAATACAATTTGTGCTGCTATAGTCTATGTCAGTTTATTAAATTTATTATAAATGAAATGATAAAACTTTATACATTTCCAAACGTTATTCCTGGAAAATATCAAATGCACTTTTGTGTTTTGATATCTACACTGTGATGTACTACACTTATAAAACAGTTTTTGGATTTGAAATCTAAAAATTAGACTGAAAGTAGATATAATATACATTTTAGAAACAGAAGTCTATGTCAAAGTTGTTTTTTATTGAGAAAATTTAAAAAGGAGTGCAATTGAAAAAAATATGGTCAAATTATTAATAAAGGCGACATGGTTTATAGATGATTATTGAACAACTACTGATTCCGAGCAATGAGTCTTTACGGCAATGTATACAGTTTTCGATCCGTGTGTTGAATAACGATGGTTTAAATATCGGAAAGAATCTCCCCCTTTAAAAATCCGATCATAAACAACTCTTCACCAACGCAATCCGATAAGGTCTATCTAAAGCTAATTCCTCTTGTAGACAGCCCTCAAATTGATGAAATTCTAACGTTAACTTCACAACAAATTAAAACTACAACAACCTTCAAGGCAAAGAGTATCCTGACGAGAGATGGTTTGCGCGAGCCGAAGGAAAGTAACGGTTTTGTATTAATTTTTTTACTTAAAATTGTTTAAGCCGCCTTCTCCTTTTTTCGGTTATCTCTTCGCTCTGACGTCTCGACAGTGAAACGCCGTATACAACGTTTGAATAATGAACAAGTCTTTTGAGTTATTATCGCCGAGTCGGATACATTTATTCTTTATAGACTACCAGAGAGAAAAACAACAACGTACCGCTTTAAAAAGGCATTATTATTTTTAGCGACGTGAACATTAATTGTTTAGTATTTGGTATTGTGTTTATCCTCTTCTACCATAGTTCTCGACAAGAACTAAGCTCTTAAACGTACACGCCAGAGAAGTTTTTTTTTTACAAAATTCTTTAACGACATTTCATGTACTTCTTGAGCCGCGTAAAAGACAATATCGGCGAGAATAATAATCATCGCTACTATGCAGTACTGTGTAAATTCATACGATTTATTGGTTTAACATGGTACTTCACCCGAGTTCTGTACAGTATGTCGGTGTCACTGTACCAGCACATACCGCTGACAAATGGTCGACCAATATGTGAAGGTGGACAACACCGTAAACCGCATGCCTAGGTTTCACACCGCTGGTATAATGTGCACAGTAAGGTATTAGCGCGCAAATCCCCGCCACTGTTACCACTCTCAAGTCCGAAATGGTCGGTTTGTCCATTTTTTTGATTGTCAAACAAATTGATTAACAAATCGCTTATCTACGATTAAATCTTTGTCGATTTGTATAGTTCGATCTAGACAAATGTCATGTTTTAGTAATATTTTTAGTTTGGCGTAGAACATTGTCCAGACCACGTAGACCGTCTAAGCCGCCCATATATATTTCTTAAGTGTTCCACTACGAGGATGCTATACCTACCCATATTTATTTAGGAGCAATATTTTGCAAAATCTCCATTTAAAGGTTAGACAGTTATGTGTATTAGGTTAGTAATTAGAACTAACTTTTTGATAGTTAATTTATTTTTTGGACAATCACATCATCTTTAAAACAATTTTTTATCTAAACATACATAGCAGAATGCGTTTTACTCGGTTTATAGCGGGTTTAGAGCAAAAACACCTATTCAAAATCTAAAGATAACTGAGGGCAGAACGTTAGGGGATTTATAACTTTTAAAGATTCTCCAATATTCAATGACTAAAATCCTACTTTTTTAACTATATATTATATAGTATCTGTAAGTTGTAACGTTGTTACAAAACAAATTTCGTAAATAGGTCAACGTACTGCCTTTAGAAATGTTATATACTTTCGATTTAGTGTAGGTTTTGAAATTCTAAAACCACTCAAAAGCCCACAATATTTCCGTGACCGTGTTATTTTAATAAAAACATGTAGGTATAATACATTCTCTTAAGTTCTTTCATAGAGCTGGATGTCCTTCTATAAATTCACTTTTACATTTTTGAAGTAAAAATTCTTATGCCGCCCCGAGTCCAAAAATTGTTATGGAAGTAGTCCCTGCCCGGAAGTAAGAGTTACGGTTCTTAATAAATAATTGAACCAGTGTTAAGAAATATTTTGATAAAAATAAAACTACACTTCACCCTTTCTCGGTTCTCCCACCCTAAATTGTATACTTTAATAGCTTTAAAAGTAACTGGTTATCGACCAGTAACAATTTTTAGAAAATCATTTTTAATTAATTATCAAAAGTTGATAGTGCTCGGAAAATAAAACAAATACTTAAATAATTTTATAATATTGTAGATCATGAAATATAAAAACATTTTATGTATGGTAATTTTTGCCTTTTTTGAATATTTCGTTGAAATATCTGCTGTAACGTGAAATTTGAATGACCCTGTTTATTAATTAAACGTCATATAAAAACCTTGGTGGTTTTGCGCGGACCCGTAGTTTCGAAAATGTTTTTCCGTGGAGCGGAAAAAAGCTAAAGTTTTTTTAAGAACTGGGCAGTTTCAGTCGAATCAGTAAAAAATTAAAAAAAAAGTCAATACAGTGTGGTCGGGGCATAGCGGGGACGGAGAGGCCACAGGTCTACAAGAATTATATTATAACTGAAAGTGATAAAATCACTTTTAAATAACGCTTCGATGCAAATCTGTGGATAGTAAGTTTTTTAATTAATTGGCTAGTCTATTATATGTACTTTTATTAGTAGGTAGTCTAGTAAGTTGATAGCGCGCTCTTGCTCGTCGTTTTTTGCTCAGAGATAAGGGACTGTTTATGAGTGAACCCTTACTAATGCTGCTTGACTGACTAGCATCGATTGAATGAGCGTAGTTGGATTATTTACCACGTCGTTCATGGCCAGACTTTTGACTAATTTATTATTGTTTTATTACACCATAATTATTGTTCTAATGATCACTTTAGGATGTGACGAGCTGTTTGAATAAATACTAGAGTATTTTTGTTTTGTCGGTAGATAAGATAGGACAAACAAAAT